AGAGTGAGAAAAACCAAAGCATCGTCGATGTTGTGATCCAGCCATATTCATAGCTAGTCTGATATTCTTTCTGACCATATTTTTTCAATATTTTTTTCTCTTTTCATTTCCAATCTTACTGTTAAATTTCTATGTTATTGCCCATAGGTAAGGAATTTCGCAATATTGATGCAAATAATGATATATATATATTGATATTTCAATTTTAGACTCTGTCAGATTTTTTTTTTTATAAATATTTGCAATTTAATGGTATTGACATGAATGGAAAGGGAAATCGTCAAACAAGTATAATATATTTTTTTATATGCAATTAATAATAACTGGCTTAATAATTTCCAGAAAGAGGCCTTGGGAATGCACTTTCTCAACAACAAAAATAAAAAAAATAATAACTAATTTTTATCTAAATTGGTATTCATTCTTCATTAAGAAAAAATACATTTCCTGTATTCAAATTTAAATGTACAGATACCTAATGCTGAGATATTTCCAATTACTGTTAAATGCAGAACAAACAAATACATTTATTACAGAAAATGCTCAGGTAAGAGTTATGCAATTATGTTTATTGTTTCAACCAAATTTCTGATAATTGTAACTAATTAATTTGATCTTGATTTTTGACTTATGTCAGATGATAATGACAATGATTTTACAAGTGAAATAAAATTTTCTTGCATTTTTATTTCTAATTTTTACATATTTGTCTTTTCTTTGAAAAAAACCACGCCTGATTAATCATTCAGCTAGCTAGCAAAATTAACAATTTAATGTAGTGTAGATCAAAATAAATAATACATTTGTAGGTTTACTATTGAGGTCAAGAATGTGTGTATTCAGTTAGGTGTGTAATAAATTGTGCCTATTTAATTCTGTAACAGGTCAGGAGATATAAAATGTGGTGAATTAAGACTGGGGTTGTTTCCAATTAATACTTACACCTTTGAGTGCAATTATTTGAAAATTATGAGTTTATAATCATACTGACTCTTGCTTGCCTAAGGAAAGAATTAGAGTAATACCATTTCAAAAAAGTGTGGGAATCAACTAATATATTAACACACATGTTGACCTAAATTTCATAGAACAAAAACTTACACAAGCATAAGATAATAATATAATACTTTCAAAATTGTTATCAACTGATTCAATTGATGTAAAAATATTTTTTCAAACTAATTCATAAATAGTAAATCATAAATTTTGATTTACAAAGGAACTATATGCAAGTGTATATCTAAAATAAAAGGGTTGTTCGACCAAATTTAAGGGCAAATAACATGTCAAAAGTTGGCAGTTGATGATTAAAATAGTGTAGAAAGTTTCTGCAAGTCATAAAAACACACAATTAGTTTCATGACATGTCTTCAACTTAGTATTCTGCACCAGCTCCAAAAACAGAGTGATCCCATAGATCCAGCATGGCTGAATCAAAAATCAGCGAGTGAGCATACACAAGCGAGTAAAAGAGATAGCAAGTGAATAAATGAGAGCCTGAGTTAGTGAGTGAGTGGGAGAGTGTAGGAGTTATTGAGTGAAAAAGATATTAAATATATATTATAAACTGTACATATTAACTGTGAATATTCATCTACAAATATACATATTCACAGATGTAGATTATATGATCTCAGCGGATGTACATCAAGATTGCTTCTACTATAGTAGATTTATGAGCTTCCTAATGAAAGTAAGTCCAGAAAAACTATGAAACGCATAAAATTTATAAAATGGTTTTCTTCATTTTCTTAGCACTGGGTTGATACCACTGTTTGGTAGACTGTTAGTCGCTGAGGTTATCATCGGCTCAGTAGTCAGTGCTTCAATAATGTCATGATTTATAACAAACCTTTCTTAAATTGTTCTTTCATTAATTTAGAAATTATTAAGAAACTAATGTTCCAACACCCTAATACCAAGTTGACCTTAGATTGATTTGCCTTTATATATTTAGGTCCCTTTTGGTCATACATCTCTTTGCATATATCAGTATACTTATACATTTTTGACTTTCTTTTTCTTTTAGGCTTTGAGATTTCCTGTTGAGGTTAATCCAGAAAAGCACCTTGGATGCATAACATTTATTAAATGTTATTTACTTTTTTTTTTTATCTCGTTGTTACTTCACTTCACTCAAAAAGACAGTGGGGTTAGGAGACATCATGTACTCTTGATCTGAGATCTTAAAACTCATGTGATTAACTTTGTATGATGATTTTGTAAAATGTCACTGTGTGATGATTTGAGATAGATTTAGCTGTTTTGTGTGTAATGTATTGAACTTTCAACTTTGTTCTATGATCTTAAAATTTACCAAAGACCATTGTTTCCCTTAATCACTTATTATATGTAACATGTTTAAAGAAGATGGCAACTTATTGTCAAATATAGGTGCGTTATAGCTGCAGACTTCAGGGTGTGATTGGTTTTCACCATCTTATGAACCATGTGTACATGTTTTATCTCGTTCATGTTTACAATTTTTGTAGTTTCCCTTTGAACAAAGTTGCTTCTGTAATTCTTACCAATAATTATCAGCAGCTCCTTTTTAAAAGGGATATTAAAAGTTATGTATGATCTACTGTATAAAAAAAGAAAAAAACCTGCCAGATCAAGTTGGCTTCACCAACGGGTCATGGAAAGGAAGTACATACTGTGTTAACAATCATGATTCAACAAGAGTGCACACATATAAATGTCTCAACTGCATTACTTATGATTGAATTTATGCTGAAAGACTGTTTTACTACAAGCATCACATAAACTTAACATTAACTTATCAATGATTCATGAAAATCAGGCCAAGGTCAGATGAACCATGCCAGACAGACATGAAAACCTTACAATCATTTCATACACCAAATATAATTGATCTATTGTTTATAGTATCTGATAAACTGACAAAACATGAAAACTTAACACTGACCAATGAACCATGAAAATGAGGTCAAGGTCATATAGAACCTGCCAGACAGACATGTACACCTTACAATCATTCCATATACCAAATATAGTAAATTTATTGCTTATATTATCTGAGTAGAACAAACCACAAAATACTAAATATTGCCCAATGAACCATGAAACAGGTCAAGGTCAGACAAAACCTGCCAATCAGAAAATGTACACCTTACAATCATTCCATACTGATCCATAAAATGAGGTCAAGGTCAGGTGAACCCTGCCTGACAGACATGTAGACATTGCACAGAACTCATATACTAAATATGGTTATTCTATTACTCATAATAAGTGTGTATTTCAAGCAGTAACTGAAACATGAAAACAAGGTCAAGGACAATGAACATATAGCAGACGGAAACTTTGTATCATAAGGTATCTGCATACAAGGTATGAAGCATCCAGGTCTTATACCTTCTGAAATATAAAGCTATATACAAACTGTCTCTGCTGCCACCAGATTGTAATCCCGTTGTCTTGCATTCTGTGACATTTGTGCAGCAAAACAAAAACTGCAAATTATGACCTTATAGGTCTTGATCATGTTCTTTGATTTTCTGTAGATCCTTTAGCAGACATAACAGACTTTATTTCTATGTATTGTACTAAATGAGTTTCCACCCTCTGCCAAAACTAACCTTGCATGATTTTTTTTCTTCTTTTTTTTCAATGTAGTCCCTTCTTGGTTCTGATGCTTCCAAATGTTTTATTTGTGTTCAAAAACATTTAAAGAGTACCTGATGAACTTTATTCTAAAAATAATGAGTCAGGCAGAGGTGGATTTAGGGAGGGGGCAGGGTGTCTGGGCCCCCCTTTTGTGGGAAAAATTTGGTTGATTATTAAGGGACCACTGAAGCATGACTTGAGCGGGCCCCCTCTTATGGCAGTCAGTGGGCCCCCTTCTGAAAATTTCTGGATCCGCCACAGTCAGGTATAGTGAAACTGACATGATACAGTTAGAGCTATTATATAAATCCATGTTGACAAAAAGTTGCGTTGGCTTGCTTGAATATTTGTTTGTATGTTTGCTCAAGCATTGTAAATAAGATTGAAATCTGAAGATAATGGATAGGCTTAGTTCAGTCTGTTTACGACATACAACAATTTGAATGGACAACAATATTATCTGATTGTGTCAAGTGAGGAATTTAACCTTGAAACAAGATATTACACACCTTTATAAACTGTACCATCACTGTGGAAAATAGAATATGTTAAAAAAGAAGCAAAAGTTACATTTGATTGATGACACTTTCAGCACTATTTCGTGGCGGCAAGTTATTATTGGCAGAGGAAGCCAGAGCAAGAAAACTGGCAATCCTATTCAACTAAGGTTAAAGTTAAATGCAACTGCCATGTGTAGGGATTGAACTCACAAACTAAGTGTTGACTGGCTAGTGATACAGTAGATGAACTACTTAGACCACTCAGCAACTAAGGCCCCTCATAAGTTAGAGGGGATAAGGGTAAAGGAAATAAATATTTACCAATTTTAAGGTCGTTCGCAGCTCTTGTTATTGCTTTGTTGTCAGATATTTGGAACCTTCTAGTTTTATCCATGTAGTGCCATTAAAAATTTTGACCACTAACCCCTACTGTATTTTTCATAATTTTATTACATATAGTTTAAAAAGCCATTTTTTAAAATCAACGTTATTGCTTCACAGTTTTTCAAAGAAAAAGGTGTCAATGTTAAATGTATAAAACATCTAGTGTTATCCATTCCAGCCAAATATTCAATTGCTTAAATGATATATCTCAAAAACAAGGACACACCCTTCATTTTTTTTCTACTTTTTCATTTCTGTTATTTATATACTATCAATTTATAGCAGCCGTTTAAAAAGTTTGCTGTTTTGAAAGAGAGGAGATACTTATTGTGTCACTCTCATTCTCACTTCCACCAGGTGAAATGGTTTTATTTTAATAAGGCTGGTAAAGGAATTCTATTTTTCAGATACATAATTCCTTGGGTTAGTGCTTCCTATCTTCTAAATGTAAACTTGTTTTTTTGGTTTTTTTTAATTTGAGGAAATATTTCAGATTTCATCATATATCAATTTTAACTACAATGCTTGAGCAAATACCCATGGTACAGTAAAATAGTGTGGATCAGTGTGTAGAACAGTTCATATTTTAAGCCTTTTGAATGAGGATGTTTTTATGCAGATTCTACTAACAATTGATACAGTGATGAAACTTTCAGAATGCTTGAATAAAAAGTCATAAAGTTTTTTTCTGAAATTATCTTAATATAGGTTTATTATAAATATAAATTACTTAATCTAACATTGCAAACAATTTGCAAATTAATACTAAAATGTACTCATTCATCATCAAACATTGCAGGATGTCAACATGTTGAAATTGAAGAATCTTATTCTTGCTACAACTATTAAACAGGACAAATTGTACAATTAGGAAGTTATTTTTAGCTCAGTCCATATTCAAGGATCTCAGGCTACTGGTCCCTACAAAGTTCTCCCTTCTTTTAAGATTTATGGTATCATACAGTAATCCCTACTATAATATGTGCCATAAGATTATACTGGCCTCATTTTTATTCAAATGTTATTACAACTTCAGGAAGTATTTTTATTCTCCAGTTCCTGTCATTCTAAATACAAGTATTTTAATTATTGGTATTAATCATAATAATCTTCTATGTGTTCTTGTTCTAATATAGGCTCAGTTTCTGAAATTTTAAATGATGTTCCTGCAGCTCCAAGCTCATCATTACTGGTATCCAGATCATCTAATAACACAGAAGTCAAATTGACCGACCCTTTGCCTTTACCTCGTGATTTTGTCTTCCTCAAGTTACGTTTGATCTGTGCACTACCTTTACCGTGAATAGCATCTTGTTCCGATCCTGAACTAGATTCAGTAGTAACACTGCTTCCACTCTCCCCTTTAAATGAATGTCTGTCTCTTTCTATTGCTTGCAGACTTGATCGTAATTGTCTTAAAGCAGGACTGTTCAACACACTAGACTTTGCAGTATTAATATTTGACTTTGCAGTCTCTTGGGACTGCACATCACGAAGTCCTGGATGATGAAATGTAGGTTTATGTGGTGGTTCAGGCTTTTTCATTTTTGATGAGGTGTTTTTATCCTGAGAGATATTTTCATCCACCTTTGAAGTAGATTTTTTACAACCTTTATCTTTTAACAGTCTGACCCTATCAGCATTTTTTAATTGTTCATCTGGAGAGTCTGGATTAGATGATGAACTGGTTGTATCCATCCTTGTTTGTTGTGGTGAATCTTTTACATCATTTACAGGTGAGATATCAGCATGGTGAACAAAAGTATGGTGCTGTAGTCCTGAAACACCTAAAGAAGATACATTCAATTAAGATTTCTTCTTGAAAAATTAGATTATACAAACACAAGTTCAATCTCAATGTCAGATGTAAATATTGATTGAGGGAGGGCCATTCCTTCAACAGATACAGTTTCCCTATTTTTAAGCAAAAGAGGTTCCTTTGCACCTCACAGCTTCTTGCCTACAGGCTTTGCCATGAAATAGAAGTTCCTTCATAATATAAATTCCAAATGGAAGAAATATTCTGTAATATTATTTCCACTGGAAACAAGAATGTGTCCATAGTACACGGATGCCCCACTAGCACTATCATTTTCTATGTTCAGTGGACAGTGATATTGGGGGTCAAAACTCTAATTTGGCATTAAAATTAGAAAGATCATATCATAGGGAACATGTGTACTAAGTTTCAAGTTGATTGGACTTCCACTTCATCAAAAACTACCTTGACCAAAAACTTTGACCTGAAGCGGGACAGACGGACGGACGAATGAACGGACGTACAGACCAGAAACTTAATGCCCCAACTACTATCGTAGGTGGGGCATAAAAATGTTACAGAATTTGTTCCTTACAGAATAAAGGGTATAGAATATGTGTTCCAATAGGAACAGATATTATGGCATTGTTTAAAACAAAATTTCCAGAGGTTGACCTTTAGCTTTTATAAACTGCCAATTCAAAATAATAAATGAATACTAGTCTCTTTTCAAATGCAAATTGTCAGAGTTTTTTTTCTGAATTCTACATCTGAAACAAAAAATAATGTGTAATTTTTATCAGTTTTGTCTTTACTTTTGGGAGTTTTGATTCTTTAAATATTAATACTAAATGTAAAGCTTAATAGCTAAGTTAACTAATATTATGTGTATTACGAGTACATAAACTACAGCTGACTGTAAAACCCACAAAGGCTAACATATAGCTTTTTATCTTTGTATTTTACCTAGAACTGGTTTTCTTATTGTCTGCCCTGATTTCCGGTCCCCAAACGGTGTTGTCATTTCTGAACTGGTACCAGATGTGTCTGTTGATGATTTTGAACTGTCTCCTATTACTTTGTCGGGTAAACTGTGTCTCTGTTTTTGAAGCTGCCTGAAAATTTCCATCTCTAAATTGGTCCTAAAATTGAAATCCACAAAGTCAAACAAGGTCACAATTGATAATAACAACAGTCATAATAAACATAGTGAACTAAAAAGAAATAAATGGAGAATGTGTCTATGGGACACAGATGATGCCCCCACTTGCATACAATGTTATAAAGAGGCATAACACGAGAACGGTAAAAGTGATGCCACCCTCATTCAAACTTGATCTGTATTTTGTGGTAATAAGCATTGTATATAGAAGTTTCATAACATTTGATTGAGGCAAACAAAAGTTAGAGAATGGAAACCAATTTTGGTACGTACATACAGACTGAAAAGGGTAACACACTTGATGCCCCCTCCAATGACGGTGGGGGCATAAAAACTGATGAAAGGAAATTGCTAACTTCAAATCTGTACTTGGTAACAACATATAGGGATCACTTCGGTTGTTTTACATCATCCATGTCAACATAGTCCTCCACAAGCATGATATTGTATTGAGATATAACCTTGCCTTGTAATTTCTTCTGTTCTTAAAGTCCCTGTCCATTTAAGGTTAAGTTATTAGGCATGGACTTATTGGACAGAGGGAATTACAGATCGTAAATGACATTCATATTTGTATTCTTTGTTGGTGTAATCAAGTTGATATATATATATATATATATATATAAGTCTGAAAATTACACCCAACAGTGTTAGAATTAGACTTTTATGCTGACAAATTTTTGTCCCTCAACGGGATTCGAACTCACACCTTTGATACACTACAGCACCAATCGCTTAGCCTCATGTCCAGCGCTCTAGACCACACGACCACATCCGCTATAAAAATATAACTTCAATAGTCGTAGTGTTACCTTGTCACGTAAGGCGAATCTAGAGATAGACATAAGACATGTGTTTTAAGCGTGTGAAGATGTTATATTATTATTTAATACACAATGTATTTGTTATTTGTCAGCAATCTAACTCAACAATTTTTATATACCGTATGGGATAATGATTCAATTCATTATACAGTCACTAGAAATAAGTATATCATACAAACAAGTCTAAGCAAGTGACAACCATACAATATATATGCCCACTGGATCTCAGTGTGTTTGAGACACAGGGTTAATACAAATATTTATATAAGTCTGAAAATTACACCCAACAGTGTTAGAATTAGACTTTTATGCTGACAAATTTTTGTCCCTCAACGGGATTCGAACTCACACCTTTGATACACTACAGCACCAATCGCTTAGCCTCATGTCCAGCGCTCTAGACCACACGACCACATCCGCTATAAAAATATAACTTCAATAGTCGTAGTGTTACCTTGTCACGTAAGGCGAATCTAGAGATAGACATAATATATATATATATACAAGTCTAAATTGAAAACAACGTTCAAACCTATGATTGCGTTGGATAAAAACCGCAATTTTTATACGTGTGCATGCAAAACAAATTTCTTTGTAGAGGGGTCTAAATACAGCACAAACAACATTTTCCAAAAGACCAAATGAGTGAAAAAGTATATTTTAACAAAACGCATTTGACTAGCAGGTCGAACAACTGATGTTCTTAAACCCTGCTGACTGCCATTGGCGATTGCCAAATAAACGGATCACAAGATGTAACAAAATAGATCTTATAAATAATTTATTACCAAACAGAAAACAATAAACTTGCGGATAAGATGGTATACCGCAAACATGAGGTGCAAAAATTTGTACACCATATCCGGATTTCGACAATTAATGTCTCTTCAGTGATGTTAGGAATCGAAACGGTATTTGGAAGGCCATATAATTTACCTCAATTTGGGATTGACTCTTGAATTTTGAAAAGTCAAAATAGGATGAATGGATCATATAAACCCGAAAGCAAATATAATACAAGCCCAAACGAAAAATTATAAACAAGTCTAAATTGAAAACAACGTTCAAACCTATGATTGCGTTGGATAAAAACCGCAATTTTTATACGTGTGCATGCAAAACAAATATATATATATATATATATAAAGTGCCTAGAAAATCAACCTAACAATGTTAGAGTAGATTTGATTCTTTACTTCCTCCCCAAGCGGGGCTGGAACCTGTACTTTTCACTTCATAAATCTACATATATATATATATATGAGTTCAAATCCTGGCCAGGGAAGAACAAAAAAAATTTGCTTGCGCAAATTTACAGATCTAACATTGTTGGGCTGTTATTTAGACGAATTATATATATAAATATATATATATATATATATGAGTTCGAATCCTGGCTAAAGATTTGCACAATGGTACTAATATAAGATGGTAAATATACGAAGATGATGTTATAAAATCGTGTTAACATATATTTCGGCTTAACAAATAGCCTTCGTCAGTGTCAATAAATTTAACAATACATATATATATATGTGTTTCTTACCTTATCTGTTTTTCTCTTCCTTTTGTCATTCCATCTCCAGGACTTAGTTTTAACAGATGAGCCAGGTAATCATGTTCATGTGAACAAAGACTGTCTTCTATTTTGTGTAATCTGTTTTCTAACCGTTCATCATCTTCTAAATTCACCTACAGAGAAAAGATTTTGCAAGAATGAAGAAATAATTGTTTTATGTTAACTAAGCACTGACAAACAGCGGGAAATTAAGCTTAAGTGTATATTTAGTATGTTCACACAAGATAAAGATCGGAAAACTATAACAATCAACAGTATGCCATTCATTGGAATATATTTACCTTGTTTCAAGTATTTTTCTTACCTCAGACCCACCACTAGATATCCCATCATCCCCTAGTCCATATGTTTCATCAGAATCAGTAAAGTATGAGGTTGGTTTTTCTGGTAACCCGTGAGAACCAGTCAATGTGTTTATGCGGAAAAATAATTCATCTACTTGATACTCAACTTCAGCCATAGTAAACTCCTGAAAAGATAACCAGTTAAGCTATCTAACAAAGTTAAAAACAGTGATGACACAGTTTCATGTATAGCACTGCATGACATGAAGGAAATGATAAAAGTATAAAACTCCATGCATATTCCAGAATTGTGATTTGTTATAGTAGAAAACCAACTCCTTTATATAGGTACAGTTATTTTTCTAGGGAAATGGAAGTTCATGTATAAGGCAGATTTGATGACACCAAGCTTGCAATGTGTTTATAGAATAAGTATTTTATAATCTGCTGTCAAATAGAGGATAGCCCCTAAAAAAAGCAAAATCTAAATAAAACAAGAGTGTACAAGCTTTTATAAAATTGAGAATGGAAATAAAAATATGTCAAAGAGACAACAACCCGACTAAAGAGCAGACAACAGCCAAAGGCCACCAGTGGGTCTTCAACGCAGCGAGAAAATTCCACACCCGGAGGCGGGCCTCAGCTGGCCCCTAAATAAAATTGTGTACTAGTTCAGTGAAAATGCCTTCTTACTGATCAGGATTGAATTTTATGTTGAAAGTTTATAAGATCAAGGTTTTACTACATATATCACATAAACATTGACCAATGAACCATAAAATTAGATAATGGTCAGATGAACCATAAAATTGGGTAATGGTCAGATGAACCATGTCTGATAGACATGAACACCTTGCAAAGATCCAATTTATCAAAAATATTTATCCTATTACTCATACACCCAGGTCTCCTACCTTCTGAAATACAAAATGTCTGCCACTTCTTCTGCAGGGGAGACAAAACCCAAACAAACTCATCACCTTCTTAATATACTTTACTAGGTTTTAAGTAACTAATCTTATAGTTTTCTTCAATTCATCTTTCTTCTGCAGAAATCATTTTATATTTTGCTGAAAATTTTAACTAAACTTTCACAACAAGCAGATAAACATGCATAAAAAAACTAACAGGAGGTAAAACATTTTCTGGCTCCTCATCAACAGGTAAAGACTGGAAACCAGTCCATAATAAAAATGTCTTCCAGTAGAAGATGACTGTTTCCTTTTGTTCCATCATGAGAAATACTGAATGTTTATGTTTCTGTATTCTGAACCTGTAGGTCAACACGGTTAACATCTGTTAAAAAAAAGTGATTATTTTTTTAGTTCAATTTTCCTTTGGTTATTAATGTTCATTTACAAATTCTGAATTACTGCAAAACTAACAAACAGCTGTATTGCTCCCTGTTATGTTACACTTAATGTTGAACAGGTCATTTTCAGCTCATATAACCTCTGTATCCTTTTTCATTACTGTATCTATAAATGGACAATAGTATGCCTCATCTGTACCCTATTTAGCCTACAAGTACAAAATGTACAACAATTTATTCTTAAATGTTATTTAGAAATATTAAAACTCAAATTCTTCTAGTGAACTTAAGCATCTCCCCTGGCCTCCAAGTGAAGTTTTTCCACAAATGTGGTTTTATGAAGATAACAATATATAAAAGTTAATGATTTGATCTTTAAGATTAAAATCACCTTTGGGTCATGATCCAATATGCAGTAATGGTTGCCTTGAGCCATACTAGTACATTAACCTTTCAGGCTAATTTAAGTTTTGTTTTGCTTCTCAACAAAACCAACATATCATGACACCAACTAGGATGTCATCTTGGTTGCATATTTTCATTATACCAGTTCATCTCATTACACATTGAACTATACAATGTATGCACTTTAAATAGTTCACAAAAATGTTTTATTGACCAAGATCATGATTTGTAATATGAGAACATGAAGTGGTGAACAAGAAACTTATCTTTTTTTCCCTTACAAGCAACAGCAACGGTCTAATATCTTGGTTTACAATTATTTATACGTCTATTTTGTTTTACTTACATAGCTAGTAAGCAGTCCAGTACCAAACACAGAGAAGAATAAGACAAAGATTCTGATGGTATGTACGACTGATGTGTCTGGTATTGGATAATCTTCATAGATGCCTGTTAGTAAGGCAGATACCGTAAATATACTGCCAATAACATTACTAAAACTGTAAATATAGGCACCAAATAACACTGTCCCTATCCTGGAAAAAAATACGATAGATCCCAAAAATAATGCCTGAAAAAAATAAAATTATATGAAGTATTAGACCTTTATTTAGACATAGAAATGATAAAAAGATTTACTCCATTGAAAACAACATAAAAAGAACTGAGCAAAAACAATAAGTCTTCACAAACTTCGTTTGGGAGACTTAAAAATATTTGACAAATTGAAATAAGCAATGAATGAAGATATCAGATTTGCATGTTTTTTTTAACTGTTCCACCACTGTCCAAGGAAAGGGGTAGTTTTGAGCGCTCATGATCAAGTTTAATCCTGGCAGATTATTAATGAGCCTGTACGCTAGTGGTTGTTGGTTGCTGTCTGTCATAATTGTTTTTGTTTAATGTTATTAGCTGAAATCAGGCTGTTTGTTTTCTCTTATGAATTGTTTGTGTTACCTGTTATAGCATATTATCAGTATGGATTTTGCTCATTGATGAAGGCTGTACAGTGCCCTGTAGTACATGTACTTTACATTCTGAAAAATTCTCAAAAATGATGACACTTACATTATATAGTTATCTCTCAATGGCCAATAATATGACAAGCTATGAAAATAAAACCACAGAAAACACAAAATTTACATATTGATCTGAGTATTTGTATATTTTATGTGATTTTGCACCCCAGTAAATCATCTTTTAAACTTCTTTATTTAATTCTTACCATGAAAGTAACAATTTCTCGTTGAAGCCTTTTGTAGATTGTACCAAACATTGAAAAGATTTTGATGTAATGTAGCAGCTTCAGGAACTTAATCATCACCAGAAATAAAATCATTCCAATTAAACTTCTTATAATCTGTAAAATATTTATCAATCTTATCATAATCTAGCATTATCATTCTGTCTTTACACAAGTTAAAACTTTCAGAAAGTCTTTTTATATTCATAATATTGCAAGTAATAGCTAGTCAAATCTTTTAAACAGGTTTTCATAGGAAGAATAAAGACATTTCTGATATTTTACAAATTTCAAACAAAACATGTTTTCTAAAATCACAATTTTATTATTTTAAAATCTTTTTATCTTTTTCTCCAATAAATACAACTGATTAAAGAGAACTGTGACCCTATAAGTAAAAAACCATAAACAACTAGGAACCATCATGTCTTTCCCATCTCATTAACCTCATAAAGTAGCTTAGAACTATCTTGTTCCTCAAAAACAACTCCGATTAATCAAGATTCTCCAAAAAAAATAATAGCAATCAATGTTGTCCAAAATAATTCTCTAAAATCCCATAATCTTGTAAAATTCTACAGAGAAAACTTGACCTGTGTCATTGAAAAATTGTAGTATAATTCTGAATGGGAAATATAGCAAACTTTAATATCAAACAAACCTCATCCCAGAATGCTAGGAAGGAAACATCAACAAACTGTCTGAAGTATGTACTGCGTAGATTTTCCACCGTCTCAGATACAAGGATAAATCGGTACACATAGAAAACAATGTATGTCAGTGACAAGGCTGATGATATTGTCTACAAAATAACACAATTACTTTTTTTGTAACTACCTTTTATAGAGATTAGCACTTTCAATTTTGCAGTAATGGGACACAAGGTGCAAAACTGTGTATCAGATTTCTAATATTATGTCATTGTACGGAAAAATGGCAGGATCTATTTTCATTGTAATGACCTGATACATGTTATAAATCACAAATATTAAAAATGATTTTTTTTTAAAACTGGACTTTATATTAACAATTCCACTATGAGAGCTTTTGTCATACTTCACAAGTTGTCTTTGTGTATTTATGTTTTGGATAGATTGATAGACTGAGTGCAGTCTGATGGACAGACTATTATTATATCCCCAGTTGCATGAGAGGTTGCGGACTAAAACCTTAGAAACAATATTGTAGCATTTTAATACCCTTTATGATTGAATGAACATACATTTAGCACACTTAAGCTGAAAATGCTTGTTTAAGAAGATTGGTGCAAAATAAAAAATAATTCCCCAAACATGTTCATTTAGAAACATGCAGGTAATGGTTGATTTACCAATCTTTTTGGAAACAAATCTTGGCTATCTCCCCTTTTTAAGACAATACTTCATTTGGGTCAATATCCCTAATGTGCCTCCAAATAAGGAAAACAACTATTAATAGAAATAAAAACCCTGTATGCAATATCAGATGTTGGACATGATGCTATTTTAAGTAATAGACTGAGCTTAACTATTTGTGCTTTTTTGAAGAGCAGAAGACAGTACAATATAAAGAACTGAATTATTAAATTGTGTGAAAATAAGGAATTTTGCTTGCTGAAGCGGCATCACATGGGAAAAAATTAATTACACTTTGCATCCCAAAAATTTAACCACATGTGTGAAAATGTCTCAGCTTCAAAACGAGCCATCTTACATATCCATGTCAGAGGAATTGAAGAGAAGGCTACCGCTGTCACCTAACTGAAATGAATAGCACATACTGACCCATTTGTCTGAATATCTTTTAAATTGACAATGTCATGGCTATTTTAATAGAATTGCCTCAAATTTTCATGAATAAGACTGTTGTGTTTCCTTAAAGAATGAGTGAATTGAACATTAGTACTTACATCAACTACAACCCAGAAGTTACGGAAGTATATCTCTAATCTGACAACATCACAGAGCTGTACACCTATCTTGTATACTGTTAGGATAATAAACATTAACTGAAACAGAAATTCAAATTAGAGAAGTTTGTTTCATTCACATTACATCTTCATCTAAACTGATAATCATTAATATTAAATTATGATATTGAAAGAAGGGTAACCTATAAACTCTAAAGAATGATGTCTTTAAAACTTATTATCATTTTGCTTCAATATTATTGCAAAGGAAACAAAACATTTCCCCATAATCAGTTGGTGTTTATCAGTATTTAAGTTTTTGCCAGGTGAAATGTCCTAGGGAATAATTACAATAGCTATGAGGGTCTGAATGGGGTGGGGGTCCTTCATTTCTGTATTCTTTAATTTTTTTAGGTCATTTTTCTCTATCCTTTATATTTTTGCCCATTATTCTCTATTCTAAATATTTTAGTACCCCATAATTCTCTATTCTTTTTCTCTTTTCTCTATTCTTTATATGTTTTTGTTCTTTAATCTGTCCATTATTCTCTTTTCTGTAAACCCCATCCAGACCCTCAGCTATTGTTCTCTGTGGAGTTCACTCAATGGGAGTTCAAAATTCCTCTTCGAAAAACTAATCATTAATTGATTAATATGGCTGTACAAAAATGAAATTTACCTTTTCCCTTTTCTAATGTCCTCTTTTTTAAAATATCAAACCATGCACTTTCTTTAATTAGAAAAGTTAAATCATGAATGTAAACATAATGTTCTTACCTCAAATGCTAATACTAAATTATCCAGTTTTGTAACATATCTATAGAGATGTGTTGATCGTATCCTGTGGTCAGGATAGGCACCTCCTGATGAGGGAATCTCCAATAAGATAACAACAGAAGTAAACAGACCAGTAGGGGCATTATACAATGTAAATTCTACAATCACTGCTCGTGTCTGGTTGTTGATCCAATCCAACTGTTGTAGTTCTTCAAGTTGAACCAAGACCTCTGACCTGAAATATGACAATTGTATAAATTGTCATTAGACTCCTTGAATTATACTTTATACATTTGAAATAAATATCTTCTTTAATCATAATAACAGGGTTGATGCTATTTGTAGCTTTTAAGACATCTATAACCAAGGCCAGTACTATGCTTGTTCCTGACCTGGTTACTCATCTTGCTAGGTTGGGGGAACTAGCTGGTAGCTTTTATATGAATACATGTTAACGCAACACAGATTCAAAGTTCTATATATAATTGTTTATTAATTCAGCATTCAGTATAATTTATTAATCACAATAATCACATAAGTTCATGAGACATAATAAAACATCATGTCTAATTTCAATCCAATACAACTGTCTAAATTCAAGTCTAAACCACAACTGTAAAACACAACTGTCCCTTACTACATGGTCAACCAATATATCTTGTTTTTCATTATTCAATTTACATAACATTAATACTCAATATATTTACTTTACATTATAATGCTAGTTTATCTATTTTCCCAAATATCAAGTCTTTGTGACATAACCTAAATTATCTTAAAAAGTAAGAAATCCCTTTTGTATATATAACACTTCTCTAATCCTTAATTCTCTATTGTCATTTAACCCTCAGGGGATTACATAATAATTTGCTTTACACTTATTTAAAATTGTGAAGATTTATATTAATTATTTATCAAGTAAATTAATTCTTAAGCTAGTGCTAAATATCTTAACTAATACTGAATTATAACAAATCTTTGAATTCTACATTTTGACATTCTTGCATCTAAAATATACTGGTTATACCCTTCCCTTCGTCGCCAAGATTGCTCCTGCAATCTTCAATTAAAATACAAAATGCATCATTAAAAAAAAAAAAATATAATATTTTACACATATTATATAGCAACAATTTAATTACTGAGTCCTGTCAATAAAATAAAACAATATATTGTGAAACAATTGAATCACTGATTCCTGTCAATAAGATATAACATATATATGAAAAAAATATTGTGAAAACATTAATTAATTCACTAATTCCTGTAATAAAACATTACTAAATATATATACATGTACATGTTCTTGGATGTGGAATGGTCAAGTTTAGATTGTCCATATCAGGGAAGTTCTCTGAAGTTCACTAATATTGACAAGTCCAACTCTCACATAATTAATGACAATGAGCTCATTGCATACTTCATGAAGTATTTCTAGGTGCATAAAGGGGCATACAAATAGCAATATATAACTGAAATATAAGGTTAATGATATATTATTCATATTGGTCATCAGCTGCAAGTTAAACACATAAGCATTCAAATCATATATTATTATAATGAAAATAATACATATTTAGGCACATACATTGGTATGCAATTATTATATATATATATATAATTAATCTGTTAAGATCTGGAAAAAAAATTGATTCAAATAACATAATAGCAATATAAATGATCTATATCATAACAAGCAAAAATTTAAATGAGCAATATATAAGCGTCTTTTGAACACATATTCAATATAGGCAATAAATGTATTATAACGCAATTTTCACATTTTACACCACTTGTAGTAAAATTAAAGTTACTACTTTTCACGATATTGTTTATACATTGTTAAACATGTCCACCTGGTCCATTTTTCTGTTTAATTGTTCGAGTAATTTTTGTGGATATTATTGTCAATTTTCATCACGCTCGTCTTTCATCTTCATCCTTATTCATGTGAGGTTAATAAAATGTCACTTAAGGTCACAAATCTCTGCTTATAAGTTTTAATATAACATAAATTTTCACTAGCTAAATAAATCATGTCCCTCATTGTCTTTCCAATAATTTTAAAATTCATAAGTTGGTCCACCACTGTTTAGAGGTTACTTCTATGAGTCCACCATTTAACCAATTTTGGGTCCACCATTTCTCTATTTTGTGGGTCCACCATTTCTCCATGCTGTGGGTCCACCATTTCTCCATTTTGCGGGTCCACCATTTCTTCATTTTGTGGGTATTGGTACTTTACTTCATCAATGTAAGTGCAACCAATAGCATAATCATACATGACACCAAAAACCCTTATACCTTATTATCTTAAGTTCATTTTAATTTGGGGAATTTTTATTTATCTCTCAAATATTCATTAGAATACCACAATTTTAGGCCAATATATATATTACCTATTTATTAATATCAACATAAATTACATACAACATGTAAGAATTTCTAATTATCTTCCCTTCTTTATATTCTAGCTTAATTCCTATACGTTTGTCTTCTTATTTCTAATTTATCTATATAACAACTGTACGCCAGTTTATTTTTGTACTTCCTATTTAGGTACTCCCTAATTATTTGTTACTCTTCCACTAAAAATATTTAAGTCATAATAAAAAAGACAACAGTTCAAAAATAGTGATGCCTATATACAATGTATGTATAGGGACCACTTGATAGTTCTATTTGTATCATTGATAAAGTACATTTTGTATAATCTGAAGTAAAATTGGTTTAAAGTACATCAGTAGATGTGCCGTTTACCTGCAATATTTAAGGATCTAATAGTAAGAACTACTAATGTAATGAATACATTTGTCCAGCAGGATTAAATTAACAGCCACTATAACTTCTGAATATTGTGTACTTTAACCAGAAATTCAGAACAAAAATAACACTTTTCAACGATACAAAAGAATAAGCATTGTCGCATTGATGAATGCTTATAACACTACTTGAATATCTTTAGTTATAACATCTCATCCACTCATCTTCATATTTATCTTGAAAAATTTTAAGAAGTCCTGGGGGACAAGTTTCAAAAGGAACCCATTCTGGATCATAAATATGTCTTTGCTCATAGTGTATGAAACATTTTGGGACATTATTTTCTATTTTAAAATGTGTAATGTGAGAGCCTGTAACAAAACATGCTGGTCCCATATCTTTTGTTTGTGAATTCCCTGTAAGGGTCAACATAATGTTATAAAACTGGTCACCATAAAAATAAGCAAGCAAATTTGTAAAAGCATGCTGATCTTCCCCATTTACTCTGTTTAAAGGTTGATAATGTGATATTCTGTTATTTCTCAATATGGTTTTGACAAAAAATCTGTTATTCTCCAGTTTAACAGCTTGTACTGGAAATTTATCCCAATTTATTTTTGGTCTTTGTTTATATTTTACATCATTGTTTTGGTCTATTGCAGTTACATTTTGTGGTTCATTTGAAGGTTCAAAAAATTTATGTTTGTTTTCTAGTAATGGTCTTTTTCTCTTTTTACCAGTATGCGTTCTGTTTTCATGAAATTCTCTTCTCATATTCTCTGAGATTTTATCTTGGTGTACCCATTCTGTTTTTGACATGTTTTTAATTTTTATTTTGTAGCATAGTTTCTTGTTTACCCATGCCGATGATATAATCTTTTCAACATCATCAGGTGTGATTTGTATTTCTGTTGTAGCTTGTTGAGCAGTTTTATTTGTATTTTGTTTGTTTTCTATAGAATTGTCAGGAGGCACTGCTTTATTTTGCTTTGAAAGTTTTGATTGACAATGTTTGTTTTGATTATTCCTGGGTGCATTTTTGGGTTGAGAATTCGATATTTTGTCTTGTGTTAGATTTTCAGGGCCTTCATTCTGGACTTGTTGATTTTCACCTTCATCATCCTCATCTTCTTCAAATGGATCATCAGTGTCATCTAGGAGGTAGTCAGGGCGGTCTGTTTTACTGTTAAATACTTTCAGACGACTTGCATTAACTAATTTCTTTGAGATTTTGTTATCGCTGTCCCTTCTTAGCTTAAAAGTATTACATTCTGGGGGGCCAAGGTTTGTTATTGTAAATGGGCCTGTCCACCTAACTTTTAATTTTGGACTTTGACCTTTTTTAACCTTTTTACAAAATAGCATTACTTTGTCACCAGGTAAATATGTGGGTTTTACTGCTCTTTTGTCATGCTGTGTTTTGTATTTTGCTTGTGCTCTTTTTGTGTTTTCTGCAGCAACATCCCTTGTTAATAGGAGGTCCTTAATAAATTTATTGAGGTATTCTCTGTGGTTTTTAGGCAATGTTGACTTTGGAATTAAGGCAACATCAATAGGTGCTCTCATTTCTTGTCCAAAGAGAAGGTGAAAAGGTGAGTACTGAGTAGACTGAGTAGCTGGTGTCATTCTATAAGCCATCATTATAGGTGCTATATAGTTTGGCCAATCTGTCTGTTTTTCCAGTTGAGCTCTCAATGATTGCACAATAAATGAGTTCATCCGTTCACACGCTGCATTTGTTTGTGGATGATATGCACTTGTATAGTGGCGTTTGATTTGGAGAAGCTCACATAAAGCTGCAACAAGCTTCGAAAGAAAATTGGCTCCTTGATCAGACACAATACAGCGGGGTGCACCGAAACGGGCAATTATCTCCCTAAAAAGGATGCTGGCTACTTCTGTTGCTTCTTGTGTCCTCATGGGAAAGGCTTCACACCATTTGGATCCACTATCAACCACCAACAGCAAGTAACGATATTTTTCTGGAGTCTCTGGGAGTTCTAAAATATCCATGTGCCATCTTGAAAAAACTTCTTCTATTGGCATTGGTTTTAATGGCACTGGATGGCTGTGTGTATCCCTTTTAGATCTTTGGCAGATTTCACACGTCTTAATGTATGTCTTGATATCCGTATACATGTTTGGCCAGTAATATCGTTGACGTACAGCTTCATATGTCCTTTCTTCTCCTTGGTGACATCCAACAATATTGTCATGGAAAGCTTCTAGTACCTCCTTCCGTAGGGTTCTTGGTATTGCTAGCTGCTTAACCATGTTCTGGCCTTTTGGTAGACTTCTTGATCTTGCATTAAAAAAATGATAAAGTATGCCATTATCAATTTCATAATGGAAGGCTTTCGCATCCAGTTGTCTAGCTTTCTGTCTTTCTTGAGGTACTTGGCCTTCTAATTTGTAACTAAAAATTTCAACAAAATCTGGGCAATGTCTTTGAAGGTGCCGAAATGTTTTACGTTTCTTAAACTGTTCTGGGTCAATATTTTCTAATGTTTCATCATCCTCATTACTAGTATCTGTTATTGTAAGAATGTTTGGTCGCTGTTCGTCATCTCCTTTATAATCAAATGTTATGATTTCGTACTTCTTATTGCCCATGGCTGCAACTGTTTGTTCAATTTCATTCTGCGGAAAATTTTCTGGGCCTATCTTTTCATACTCTCTTCTTGACAGGGCATCTGCATTATTTTTCTTCCCAGGTCTATGCATTATTTCGAAGTCATATCCTTGAAGTTCAAGTGCCCATCTACCCAGTCTCCCTTGTATATTTTTAATTGTATCTATCCAACGAACAGTTATATTATCTGTATAAACTGTAAATTTGTGTGTGGCCAAATATGGATTAAAATGTTTTATTCCCTCTTTAAGTGCTAACCCTTCTTTTTCGTTTATGTGCCATTTTTGTTCATTTTTATTCAGTGATCTACCACCATAAGCTACGACATGTTCAAGTTTTGTGTTTGGATTTAATTGTCCAAGGACATAGCCAATAGCATAATCAGAAGCATCCACTGACAAAACAAATGGTTTATCAAAGTCTGGAAACACTAAGATTGGAGCTGAGACAAGGCTGTGCTTCAATGTTTCAAAAGCTGCTTGACAATCTTGTGTCCAGATATATTTCTTATTATTCTGAGTTAATTGTGTAAGTGGAGTTACAATTTTTGAGTAATTGTGCACAAATTTCCTGTAATAATTGCATAATCCTAAGAAACTGCGTAGTTGTTTGATATTTTTAGGTATTGGGTATGTTTGCACAGCAGATGTTTTTTCAGGGTTTACTTTAATACCATTTTTGGACAAAATATGACCTAAATAATGAACTTCTTCTTTTGCAAAATGACATTTTGTTGGATTAAGTGTAAGATTTGCTTGTTTTAATTTGTCAAAAACTAATTGTAAATGCTTTAAATGTTCTTCAAAATTTTTACTAAAAATCAAAATGTCGTCTATGTATACTAAAGCAACTTTCCAGTTCAATTCTTTTAAAACTTTTGTCATGAGCATTTGAAAAGCCATTGGTGCATTTGTTAACCCGAAACTCATTCTTTTGAATTGGTAAATACCTTGATGTGTTACAAATGCAGATTTGTGTTTTGTTTCTGGATCTAAGGGTGTCTGAAAAAATCCACTCATGAGATCCAGTACTGAATATATTACAGCTTTTGAATTAGCAACTGTGTCAAAAACATCATCTATCCTAGGAATACTAAATTTTGCCCTTAATGTGCATTTATTGAGCCTACGATAGTCTACCGCGAACCTATACTCTTGCTTTGCATCCATATTACTTTTCTTTTTGCGAACTAATACAATTGGGGATGACCATGGAGAGTTTGATTCTTCTATAATGTCATTTTTTAACATTATATCAATATGTTTTTCTGTTTCTTCCCTCATTTGTGGTGTTTGTCTGTAGGGCATTGATTGAACTGGTGGTGCATCACCTGTATCAATTCTGTGATAGTGGTAACTAGTTTTACCTAACTCTGTAATGTCCTTAGCAAAAACGTTTCTATTCCTTGTTAAGAGTTCAGTTAACTGTTTCCTTTGATTTGCATTTAAGTTTTCATTCATTTTTATTCCCAACTCTTTTTCAACATTCTGATATTTATTAACTTTAATAGATTTATCTATTGAATCATTATCATTTAAGGCAAAAATACCATTTTTGTCTATTTCAAAAGCCTTGGCTATTTTCTTATTCCTATATAATTTTATGCTTAATCCAGTAGGATTTAGAATTCTGTACAAAGCCTTTCCATTTTGTACATTTACTACCACTTTTGAACCAACCAAATTTTTAATATCATTTGAAAAGTTTGGTTCAAGAATTACTGTACTGTTTTTACTATGCCTAACAGAAAGCCTAACAGGTATAATAATTTCACAGTGTGGGGGAATAACCTCTTCTGCTATAGTTTTAACATGTCCATAATGTTCATTTATAGTCTCTATATTATTTAAAGGTACATTCAATAAATTTTCTTGAATTGCTAAGGTATTATTTTCAAAATTTATATGAGCTTTATTAGCTTTAAGAAAGTCTATTCCTAAAATTATATTAAAAGTTAAGTTCTCAAGTACTGTTAATTCTTGATATATAATTAAATCATCTATATTTAATTCAACATCTACTTTTCCTAAAATTGGATAGCTCATACCACAAGCAGTAAAAATTCCAGATTGCGTACTTTTTTGTATTTTGATGTTTTTCAAACATTTTTGTAAACACTTTAATGATATACAAGAAATTGAAGCACCTGTATCAACTAACGAATCAACTGTTTTATTTCCTAATTGCAAATGTATAATATTTTTTGAAAGGGGGGCTATTAGAGCTAAGGAGGGGTCAGGATAAACTGAATTAGACATGTTGAGTCTTTGTAGAGGGAAAATCCTATTAAAAGATCTTGACAACTTTAATTACAAAATAAAGTAAAATTTAAAGATTTGGTGTCATACAAGATCACAAATAAAAGGTTGACTCACCTCTGCATACTCAGGAAAATCCACTGTTTCCTATATGGAGATATGCTGACTCTTGTCTCGGTATTCAGGTTCGCATCCTACATGTATCCCTCCTCAGTACCGGAAAGCCGGGTCACTCCGCCACGTATAACCAAGGCCAGTACTATGCTTGTTCCTGACCTGGTTACTCATCTTGCTAGGTTGGGGGAACTAGCTGGTAGCTTTTATATGAATACATGTTAACGCAACACAGATTCAAAGTTCTATATATAATTGTTTATTAATTCAGCATTCAGTATAATTTATTAATCACAATAATCACATAAGTTCATGAGACATAATAAAACATCATGTCTAATTTCAATCCAATACAACTGTCTAAATTCAAGTCTAAACCACAACTGTAAAACACAACTGTCCCTTACTACATGGTCAACCAATATATCTTGTTTTTCATTATTCAATTTACATAACATTAATACTCAATATATTTACTTTACATTATAATGCTAGTTTATCTATTTTCCCAAATATCAAGTCTTTGTGACATAACCTAAATTATCTTAAAAAGTAAGAAATCCCTTTTGTATATATAACACTTCTCTAATCCTTAATTCTCTATTGTCATTTAACCCTCAGGGGATTACATAATAATTTGCTTTACACTTATTTAAAATTGTGAAGATTTATATTAATTATTTATCAAGTAAATTAATTCTTAAGCTAGTGCTAAATATCTTAACTAATACTGAATTATAACAAATCTTTGAATTCTACATTTTGACATTCTTGCATCTAAAATATACTGGTTATACATCTCGTCAAAACTTTAGGAAAAAGATTGCATGTAATACTGAAAAACTTTGCCTCAAAATAAAATATCTACAAAAAGTAATTTATTTGTGGTTGTTTTCTTCTATCTTAGAAACAGTTAAAACATATCTCTTATGGAGATCAATTTCTTTTGAAAAGCCTATTTTTTCAAACATGAAAGACTGAATATCACCATTACAAGGTTTTTCAAGAAGAGCAATAGGCATTTTACACATACATACCTTGTCATATTTAGCTGTAAAACATATCCAGAATTATCATAAATCCCATGCTTCCCATATATGTTAAAACTCAGGGTGGCTTCTTTGTAATCAGACAATTTATCTCCCTTGGACTTCATCTGCTTAGATGTTTGGTAGTCATGGTAACAACTATCTGGCAAAAATGGCAGGTTATATGGACAATCACAGTTTTCTTTGATGACCTTGAGCTGCCTCAGTTGTACATTTCCTATAATATGACTGTTGTCTAATAGTTGGTAGATCTGTTAAAACATTTTTTACACAAATTTTAAATCACAGTATTAATAAAACATGAGGCTGTCAGAGTGACAGCAAACTGGATTTTCCTGCAGAGGTTGAACCCTGAACAGTTGAGCAAGTATGGACACAACATTTAAGCTTAAAACAGCTTTGAATTTGGATTGTGATTGAATATTTGACACAGTATAGGTTTGTGACAAAAAATGAATGTGGTCAAAGAACTGAAAAATTTGAAATTGGACATTTACCTATTATGGTCCAACATCCAAAATCTAAGTACATTGTTAGAATCAGCATATCAAAGAACCCCTAGAATTCAATTTTTGATGAAATCAAACAAAAGTTTAATTTAGGACCTTTGGACCTCAATGTGGACCAATTTGATAAAGGAGCCCAAAATCCAAAATCTCTAAATACATGGTTAGATTCAGCATTTCAAAGAACCCCATAAATTCAATTTTTGTTGAAATCAAACAAAGTTTAATTTTGGACCCTGATTTGGACCAACTTGAAAACTCGGCCCAATAATCCAAAATCTAAATACAGGTTTAGATTCAGCATTTGAAAGAACCCTATATATATTCAACTTATGTTGAATTCAAACAGTTTAATTTTGGACCCTGATTTGGACCAACTTGAAAACTGGGCCCAAAATCAAAAATAAATCTGTCACTCCAATTATAATTTTGTTAGTTGATAATTACCACATGTTTGTTATCTTGACAAAAGGTAGAAATTATTGCACAAATAAATTAATAGTAAATACATTGTCCTAATCCAAATACATGTACAAATGTGTATATTTAGTTAATTGTAAAAATCTATTATACAAATTGTGTTAGTTTTATAGGAAGAATAAAAATAGATTATCATCTAATGAAAATGATATTTGCAATCTGGACCCCCAAACAGGATCAAGTAAAAATTAAACATTAACACACACAACAAAAAGAAAATACCACATAACAACTGTGACATCTACCTTCAAAAACACTAAAATTTAAAAAAAATAGTTATAAAGAAATTTTTGACAACTCTCTGATTAAAATCAACTGAACAGATACAATCATTGATAGACTTATAATTTACACCATTTCTGTTCAAAGGGAAATAACTCAAAATAAAAACAAGAGACCAAATGACATAGAAATTACTTATTACAGCTCTTTTCATAATGCTAGCAAGACAAAGGTTTGTTTGGCTTGCTTGCTTTGTTTGTATCAATGTTTGCTCAAGCATTGTTATAAAGATTGACATCTGCAAACAATATAAGTAGGCGGAGTTAAATCTGTGTAAAGGTAAATTTGATTATTTGATAATGTCCAATCAAATTTAAATATAATGTATACAAGTTTAAATCCTCCTTTTTATGTTGTTTTCAGATGTCAATCTTAATTACAATGCTTGAGCAAACATTGATACAAACAAAGCAAGCAAGCCAAACAAACCTCAAACTAACTCAAAATAAAAACAAGCGACCAAATGACATAGAAATTACTTATTAATAACACCATTTCTGTTCAAAGGGAAATAACTCAAAATCATATAATAAGAATCACTTTTGCTACTGAAAGGTCTACAACTCAACAACGAGAACAGCTAAAATAGTGAAAATTGAACTTGACTTTCATTTAGTCACAGGAAATGACATATCTAAATTTGAAAAGATTTTGTCAAAGCGTTTTCATGTTAATGAACGGACACTGTTTGGCAGAGGCACGCCCACCAGCCAACCCGCCCGCCAAAATCCAGTTAATTAATATTTATGAATGAACACCCTACCCCCCAAAAAAAGATGTTCCTATAAATGTCATTGAAGAGAAGTTCCCCTTTATAATATTATTTCCAGAATATTATTTCATGGCTATCATAGACTGATTTTTTAAAGAAAACAAATGAAATTTACCCCATATATGTAACTGCAATGCTTGGACTACACATGCTGTAGCACCTGTATTCCCTATTTGTACATGTCAAGGAATGACACAGCAAATATTTCAGAATTAACAGTACCAGTTATAAACATTTCTATGTTAACACTCTATTACAAATTGTTTCTGATTATAATAGTAAATAGAAAGTGTAATATTCTAGGTTAATAAGACCATTGTAGGATATTCATATAATCATACAAATAAACATGAATTACCTCACTGTATTGGTGACTGGTAAGATTTATGGCTGGTGGATACAGTTTATCTAACATGGTTGTCTGACTCCAATTGTACCATTCATTGGAAAACTTTATATTGGTAAATTTTAATGGCCCAGATCTGTAACAAATACATTACATATATTAAAATGGTGCTCTTTGCTTGTAGCATCAATCTTTTAATTTAATTTCCTTAATGTTTATTAATGGAAGTTGAATGTATAATCAAAATTCACAAAGAATCTACAATGGTTAAGTGACAATCTGAGATCCTGACCTAATTGAATTTTTTTTAATTCTTTCAAATAAATAAATTACAAAAGGGGCCATTAGCATTGCAGCAAAATGATAGTTATGTTATATTTGAATTCCCCAAAATGCCAGTAAATTAAATAGAACTGATAACTTTTTATAATTTATTCAACAGAATGGCTAGTTTAATAAAACAGCTTTCCAATGTCTCTTGTTCCAGCATAAATTACACCTGTCCAGTAATTTTCCAATTCATTTAGGTTTCCGAATTTTGGTCATATAACTAAACCTTTGATATAATCACATTCTTTCAATACAAAAAACAGTAAAGAAACATTTTAGTCTTGTGTCAATCTGTAAAAAAAAAAGATTTCATTTCAAGCAAAATATGAGACTACATAATTTAAAAACAGTAAAACTATAAATTGTAAACTGCAAGTAAATCAGCCAAAAAGTAAGATTTGAAGGATGATTCATAAACTACAGTTTATTTAATTAGCTACAGAAGATATAAATTGACTTATTCTATTTACCTGATAAGTGAATTTTTCAGTGCCTGATTGATATAAAATGGTGAACTAGTATCTTTTCCATAAGCCATTACAATGAGCATAATAAACATCAGGAATATTACAGCTGTATCCCTGCAAATGTGCCAATTAAAAAATTTAAATATAGACAACTTTTAGAGATATTTTCAAAAAATAATATTTTGTCTGATGAAAGTAAACATTAAATGTTTATTTCATGTCTATTCAATATATAAAACAAAAAAAAGTTTTTTAATTAAAATCAATAAAGACTGTCAGTGGTTTTGTGATTGCTTGCCTGGCTTAAACATTAGAAGTTGTCGGTTTAATGCCTAGCTGGGTCAAACAAAGACTTTAAAATTGGCATTTTCTACTGCACTGCCAATTGTACAGCATTTATGAGTGAAAGCAAGACTGGTTGGCTAGGAGTCAAAATAATGTACCCAGTAGAGTGATATTTCTTCCTGCAGACTGTTACCTTGTTGGACTCGAGGTTTAAAATTCAACTCAGTGTGTTAGTCTAGAACAAAACATGTGTATTTATATCTCATTAGAGAATTTAATATCTTGATAATGCATGTAAAATGTGCTACTCAATTTTAAACAATCACCAATCAATGTAACAAAGTCATTAAGGTTTATAGCTTTATAGATACCAGTGAAATCTTACAGATGATTGTCTCTAATTATGTATAATAAAGACATTTGAAATATTTAAAAGAAGGAATCCTATAAATCTCATTCCCTGTATACATGTACAGCTATTGGCTATGAACCAACATCATAAATCTTCCCAACCTTAACAGTGACATAGCTTTCTTCTCCTTCATAATTTTCTTTCTGGCTTCTATTAATTGTTTTTCTTGTGGAGGTCTGGCAAATCTGAGGTATCTTGATCTCTGCCTAGCAGCAACTCCCTGTATAATATAGTCAAGATTTTTAAAGCATTTATCAAATAGAAAACAGAAATGTTCCTAATATTTTCCTTTTTTCAGACCAGCAGACATTAATTGAACTATGAACATGAAACATGCAAGTTTATTTAAACTGTTGCTTAATTTCAACTATGAATTGGTTAATCATTACTCCATAATGAATATTATAAAAGCAAGGATAAAACATTAAGGTAATATAAAAAAAAAATTAGGGGCTTAATGACGAGATTCTTCTTCAATTTTTGGTAACGGCGGATTTCCAATTTGCAGGTTTTGATGCATAGCCTGCTAAAAAAAATATCATATTTTTAAACATTTTAAAACACAATTTTATCGTAGAAGTTTATATTTTACAGTACTTATCTTAACATGTTTTTTTTTCTAAGCCACAAACATTAATCTTTGGCAAAAACAACAAAACTATTGTTTATTGTTAACTAAACTCACATATTATTGCCCCCCAAAAACTCCAGTTTTGAAAATATGTTAATAGTTAAAATTGTACAATGAAAATAACACTACAAAATAACAGCAATTAACTTACATAAGACTGACAATAACATCAAGATTCTGCAAAAGTTGCATTGAATTCCAGCCTGAGGTTTACGATGAATAAAAATGCCCACCCCCTTTTGGGACACGAGGAAGTCCTTCTTTTGCTTATAGAAAGCACCAACAAGAATAAGTGTCATGTGTCACCCTGGCCCATTGGAGCTATCAAATTCCAATGTTTAGTGAAGCATGAAATCTGGATAAAAATGCTAATTTGGAATATAAAATAAGAGATATGCAATGCCTTTAAGTACTGACAATTTATGTGTTTATAAAGTGTGCACAGACAAGCAAACAACCAATACACCAGTCACTATACACTGCCATGAAAAAGGTGGGAGAATAATGGAATCATACAAAAAGTCCCCACTCTAAATGATAAACCATGCAAGGGGAAGTAATTTTGAAGACAACGAATATATACCCTTTCTAATTCCTCCTGTTCTGTGTACTGTACTTGTTCTTTCTTTCTCCTCAGTATTTCTAGTTTAGCTTTCTCCCCAAACTCTCCATCTTCATAATGGTCCAAGATGGATGGGTCGTTCTTATATCTAATAGCTGTATAGATCACTGCTATAATTATCTAATTATAAATATATAAAAATTTATTTTTGTTGGAACACTGAAAAGGAAATCTTTTTTTTTTAAATAAGTAAGGTTCAGATAATTAAATGCCTCCTGCAAAACCCCAAAAATGTTGACACACTGATTGGTTTGATAAAGAAACACTCAAATATATTATTTAAATCAACTGGTAAAAGTAAAAAATATTTGCCTATATATGAATACATATATATCTATGTAATATATATGGAAATTTGGACGTACAAATGCTCTTTTAATGACAAGCTTAATAGCTGAAACATTGTATGAGCTTTGAGAGTGATATCCATTTTTCATACTTTGCTTAAATAAAGTTTTATAAATTATATCATAGCATTTCCAAAATCATAATAAAAGTGTAAGTCATGAGAAGCTGGGTATTAAAACTACTAGTTGTGCAAAATTCTTAAATTCTGTTAGGATTATAAAGAGGGAAGAACAACTTGGGACAAATCAATACCAAATGATAGAATGTTGAAATACAATAAGATATGATAGCTTTAATTATTTCTGAAGATATTAGGTCTTCTTAATTAAATTCTTGATTCATAACAAAAACAGATAAGCTTTCAGTACAATCTATTATAAAATTAAATTATCCAATTTTCCTCCTTTTATAAATCTTTTGTCTAAAATCTATAAAAAAAACAAAAAGATATTTCCATCATTAAAAAAGCTATTAATGAAAGATAAGATAATATAAATGGCTTCATTTCATGTAAAATTCATTCAAATAAATTGCTTTTCTTTTTAAAATTTTTTAATTCCACACAAAAATCTATCCTAATCATTTGCAATGCATGCTAGCAACAACAATTTTGAAACATTAACCTCAACATATAAAATGATAAATACCATGAATGGCTGAGCTATAAATACACAGACCATGAAACTAAAATACAGTGACTGTAACCACATCATACTCTTAGATATTCCAAATCTACAATATAAGTAATATAAAGTTTAAATTGGCTCACATATAAAAGTCTTTCTACCTGTGAAAACTCATAAAAGTCCTGTTTACATTCTGAAAACTGAACAGAATTTATAACATGATTATTTCTCAGATTTAGACAATCAAATTCAAATGATTACAGCAAGAGAACATATATACCGGTAGTCCTCTTTGAAGTTTTAGGTAAGTATCTGGGCAAAGTATGTTTTCTTTTCTCTATTTATAACTTGGATATCATAAAAGGTAAAATACATCTGATAAAAACAAAGAATGAATTTCTTACATTATTGAAAGAAAAAAATAATTCATGAAAACTTTAGAGCTCGCCCTCTGAAACAAGGTAAATCTTACCTGAATCCATACATAACTGTGATCACAGCACAGGTACCAGTTATTACAACACATAGAAACCAGGCTATAAACTGGCACCAGTAAGGTAAGAATAAACGGCTACTGCTAACTTTTCTGGAACTGCAACCTGTACAAATAATTTCATTCACTATCGGATTAACTATGACTTTGTTAGAATTATAAATGTTTTTTCTCCAATTTTTTCACTATTTTCACATTTCCCAACCGATTGTGAAAAAATTGTTCAATTCACAAGTGAAATAACAGTTCCTCTGCAAATGATTGGTCAAAATTTAATTATGACATCAAATTTTCTTAGTTTCTTCTGAATTTCCTATTGTGACGACATGAAAAAAGACTACCATAATGACGTCACATATAAGGAACACAACTTTCTACAAATCTTTGAAAAGGAAGGATAAGAAACATTAGAGAAGCAAATTCCACCACTATAGGTTACAAGAGAGTAATTATTCGTAATGCATTTTCCATAGGGTACCAGTGGTGTTCCATATTTTATTTTTCGAAGACTACACAAACTAGGAAAAAATGGGTATCAGTTCCTGTTACTAAAAATGTCAGTGTTGCATAACAACCAAAAAAATATACATGGTCATGCGGCAAAAATTGACTTAAAATCAGGCATGGGGCGAATTACATTGCAATGTAATGCATTATATTACAATTACTTTGACCAAACCATGCATTATATTACAATTACATGCATTTATCAAAGTAATGCATTATATTACAATTACTTTTGCAAAGTAATGCCTTGAATTACATATTACATTTGAAAATTTTATTAGTGAATAGAAAAATTAAACATTTTGAAAAACAACTACAAGTCACAAAAGATTCTAGCATATGCAGTAACTGTTCCATGAATTGAATATAAGTATACATGTAAAAAGTCTATTTAATTCGACTTTTACAATTTTTAATTATTTTAACTTAATGTTGACTTTACTTTTATAAATATATTTTTTGTTGTTTTTCTTTAAATTTTAAACGAAATATTTAATTACTGTGAATTACTTCCCTAATTATAAAATAAACATAGACCTTAATTAAAATTAACATATTCTTAATTAATCAAGAAATCTTAAATTTGGTTTAGTTAAAACTCCAACAATATGTTAAAGATGTAGTATGTGAAAAAAGTAATGACATGTAATGCCATGTAATGCATGAAATTACACAACTTTTTGCTAAAGTAATGCATTATATTACAATTACATGTAATGCACAAATTGCTGCATTACACATTACATGCAATTACTTGGAAAAATGTAATGCATTACCATGCATTACAATTACAAATTTGCATTACCCCATGCCTGCTTAAAATGCAGTTGAAAAACATTGTCTATCTTTTTCGCCAAATGAACAAGAGGCTCTCAAGAGCCTGAATCGCTCACCTGTATTTCAGAGAAGATTTTTAAATGTTAGCAAACTTGATGAACAAATTGTGTAAAATTGTCTTTGAAGGGCAATAACTCCTTAAGGGGTCAATTGACAATTTTGGTCATATTAACTTTTTTGTAGATCTTACTTTACTGAACATTATTGCTGCTTACAGTTTATGTATATCTATAATAATATTCAAAATAATAACAAAAAACTGCAAAATTTTGTTAAAACTACCAATTCGGTGGCAGCAACCCAACAATGGGTTGTTCGATTCGTCTGATCATTTCAGGGCCAATAGATCTTGGCCAATTAAACAATTTTACCCCATGTCACATTTGCTCTAAAAGATTTAGTTTTTGAGATATAAGCCAAAAACTGCATTTGACCCTTATGTTCTATTTTTAGCCATGGCGGCCATGTTTGTCGATGGAAACAAACTTCGGATACAATTTACAAACAAGATACCCTAAGGAACATTTAGTTAAAGTTTGAAGGTAATTGGCCCAGTAGTTTCAGAGGAGAAGATTTTTAAATGTTAGCAAATTTGATGAACAAATTGTGTAAAATTGTCTTTAAAGGGCATTAACTCCTTAAGGGGTCAATTGACAATTATGGTCATATTAACTTTTTTGTAGATCTTACTTTGCTGAACATTGTTGCTGCTTACAGTTTATATATATATCTATTATAATATTCAAAATAATAACAAATAAAATGCTCCGCAGGGCGCAGCTTGATACGACCGCAGAGGTCGAACCCTGAACAGTTGGGGCAAGTATGGACACAACATTCAAGCTTGATACAGCTTTGCATTTGGATTGTGATTAAATATTTGACACAGCATAGGTTTCTGACACAGAATGAATGTGGTCTAAGAACTTAAAAATTTTAAATTGGACATTCACCTATTATGGTCCAATATCCAAAATCTAAATACATGGTTAGATTCAGCATATCAAAGAACCCCAAGAATTCAATTTTTGATGAAATCAAACAAAGTTTAATTTTGGACTCTTTTTACCTCAATGTGGACAAAGTTGATAACGGGGCTCAAAAAATCAAAAATCTAAGTACATGGTTAGATTCAGCATATCAAAGAACCCCATATATTCAATTTTTGTTGAAATCAAACAAAGTTTAATTTTGGACCCCGATTTGGACCAACTTAAAAACTGGGCCCATAATCAAAAATCTAAATACATGTTTAGATTCAGCATATCAAAGAACCCTAAGAATTCAATTTTTGTTAAAATCAAACTAAGTCTAATTTTGGACCCTTTGGACCTTAATGTAGACCAATTTGAAAACGGAACCAAAAATTAAGAATCTAAATTCACGGTTAGATTCGACATATCAAAGAACCCCAATAATTCAATTTTTGATGAAATCAAACAAAGTTTAATTTTGGACCCTTTTGACCTCAATGTGGACCAATTTAAAAACGGGCCCAAAATCCAAAAACTAAATACACGGTTAGATTCAGCATATTAAAGAACCCCAAGAATTCAAGAATAAAACCCCATTGAAATTGGTCAAGAAATAAGCAATTTATACGAAGTATCTTCTTTTGCACAATACTGTGCAATTAAATATTTCTTGCTATTGCACAATACTGTACAATTGACAATTTCTTGCTATTGCGCAATATTGTGCTATTGGATATTTCTTGCTATTGCGCAATACTGTGTAATTGAAGATTTCTTGCTATTGCACAATACTGTGCAATTGAAGATTTCTTGCTATTGTGCAATACTGTGCAATTGAAAATTTCTTGCTATTGCACAATACTTATTATATAATAATTTACACATCCTGTTTGGTGTGTATCTCCTACCATATCATTATTATTTGCTTTTAAATATAAATCAGAAATAACCAACTTAAAATGGAAAATTTTAAAAGAAAAAAAAAGGAAAAAAAAAAAAAAATCCCCCCCCCCCAAATTTTTTGAACCCCCTTATGATTCATCACCCCAAAACTCAATCCCAGCCTTCCCTTTGTGGAATGGTACCTTGCAGTACAATTTCAGAGAGATCCATAAACTTGAACACAAGTTATTGTCTGGAAACTAGAAAAATGTGTTTTTTGGCCCCTTTTTGGCCCCAAATTCCTAAACCTTTAGGGCAATTACCCCCAAACTCAAACCCAGCTTTCCCTTTGTGATATGGAACCTTGTAGTACAATTTCAGAAAGATCCATACACTTACACACAAGTTATTGTCCTGAAACTAGAAAAATGCTTGTTTTTTGCCCCTTTCTGGCCCCTAATTCCTAAAATATTGAGGCAATTACCCCCATCATCATTCCCAGCCTTACCTTTGTGGTATGGTACCTTGTATTACAATTTCAGAGAGATCCATACACTTGAACACAAGTTATTGTCTGGAAACTAGAAAAATGCTTATTTTTGGCCCCTTTTTGGCCCCCAATTCCTAAACGTTTCGGCAATTACCCCCAAACTCAATTCCAGCTTTCACTTTGTGATATGGAACCTTGTAGTACAATTTCAGAAAGATCCATACACTTACACACAAGTTATTGTCATGAAACTAGAAAAATGCTTGTTTTTTTGCCCCTTTTTTGGCCCCTAATTCCTAAAATTTTGAGGCAATTACCCCCAAAATCAATCCCAGCATTCCTTTTGTGATATGGAACCTTGTGGTACAATGTCACAGAGATCCATACACTAACACACAAGTTATGTCTGGAAGTTACAAAAATGCTTATTTTTGGCCCCTTTTTGGCCCCTAATTCCTTTACTGTTGGTACCATAACCCCCAAAATCAATCCCTATCTTTCTTTTGTGGTATTGAACCTTGTGGTAAAATTTCATAGTGATCCATTCACTTAAACTAAAGTTAGAGTGCGAAAACCAATGTGTCTTCGGACGACGCCAGACGACGACGACGACGACGACAACGCCAACGTCATACCAATATACAACCACAAATTTTTTTTTGCGGTCGTATAAAAACTGCAAAATTTTGTCAAAACTACCAATTCGGTGGCAGCAACTCAACAATGGGTTGTTCGATTCATCTGAAAATTTCAGAGCTGATAGATCTTGACCAATTGAACAATTTTACCCCATGTCAGATTTGCTCTAAAAGCTTTAGTTTTTGAGATATAAGCCAAAAACTGCATTTGACCCCTATGTTCTATTTTTAGCCATGGCGGCCATGTTTGTCGATGGATCAAAACTTCGGATACAATTTATAAACTAGATACCCTAAGGAACATTTAGTTAAAGTTTGAAGGTAATTGGCCCAGTAGTTTCAGAGGAGAAGATTTTTAAATGTGAGCTAAAAAGGCAGATTTTTAATGGCTCCGACGTGCAGATATTGAATATATTTTCTATATTTTGTAAAATGTGAATTTGATTTTCTGGATTTTTTAAACCTGATTGGATAAGCTTTCAATTAAAAGTAATTCCAATCCTGTATCATCCAATCAGAAGCCGTACAAGATTCTATTCTGAGTACCATCTTGGGGTAAAAACTTGCTGGTAAAATGTAAGGGCTATTCCATTAAAATGTATGTGGGAGGGTAGGAAGGGAAGTTTAATTATTGAATGTGGGTCATGGGTCTTTTTTCAGTATGTGTCTATTACCATAATGCAAAATTATCTAAAATATGGTTCTTGGTTGTAGGGATATTTTGAAAGTCCCTTCCTACCCTCCCACATACATTTTAATGGAATAGCCCTAAACAATAATTGCGCTCTTGTAACCTATAACTTGTGTATTACGATATTTCTCCACTCTCAACAGTTAAATTTTAATTATTTAAAAAGCTTGGCAAGCCTTGCGCTTTAAATATTAAAATCTAACTGTCTCGAGTGGAGAAATATTGTAACACATTTGTTGCAGTGGTGGAATCTACATGTTTCACTTTCTGAGTAAAGCATGGAGGACTTAGCAGGTTTATTTATCCATTGGCTAACACAGAATTGCTCCAAATTCTTACAAAAATTCCTTATAAAAGAATAAACCAAATATAGTAAATAAATGAAAGAACCTTAGTGAGCGCGCTCACATACCCCACGTCCCCACATTGTCATTGGAGAAATAAAATAAGTGTAAGAAAAAAAAATTGTATCAGAAAAAAAAATTGAATCATAATTTCCAGTCAATATGCACATCTACATAGTATGTCCTTATTATCTACACAGTTTCATGAAATTCTGTTGTGTGGTTTGAGAGGAGTTGCGATGACAAAAGGTTGCAGTAGTATATTGGGCAAATAAGTTCAAAGGGGCGTAACTCCTGGAAAAAAATTGAATCGTAATTTCCTGTCGATATGCACATCTACGTAGTATGGCCTTATTATCTGAAAAGGTTTCATGAAATTCTGTTGTGTGGTTTGAGAGGAGTTGCAATGACAAAAGGTTGCAGTAGTATATATATATTGGGCAAATAAGTTCAAAGGGGCGTAACTCCTGGAAAAAAAATTGAATCGTAATTTCCTGTCGATATGCACATCTATGTAGTATGTCCTTATTATCTGAAAAGGTTTCATGCAATTCTGTTGTGTGGTTTGAGAGGAGTTGTGATGGTTGCAGTAGTATATTGGGCAAATAAGTTCAAAGGGGCGTAACTCCTGGAAAAAAAATTAAATCGTAATTTCCTGTCGATATGCACATCTACGTAGTATGTCCTTATTATCTGAAAAGGTTTCATGAAATTCTGTTGTGTGGTTTGAGAGGAGTTGCGATGACAAACTGTCGCAGAAGTACATTAAAGTAAATAAGTTCAAAGGGGCGTAACTCCTAGAAAAAGAATTGAATCGTAATTTCCTGTCGATATGCACAACTACATAGTATGTCCTTATTATCTCAAAAAGGTTTCATGAAATTCTGTTGTGTGGTTTGAGAGGAATTGCGATGACAAAAGGTTGCAGAAGTATATTGGGCAAACAAGTTCAAAGGGGCGTAACTCCTTGAAAAAAAATTGAATCGTAATTTCCTGTCGATATGCACATCTACGTAGTATGTCCTTATTATCTGAAAAGGTTTCATGAAATTCTGTTGTGTGGTTTGAGAGGAGTTGCGATGACAAACTGTTGCAGTAGTACATTAAAGTAAATAAGTTCAAAGGGGCGTAACTCCTAGAAAAAGAATTGAATCGTAATTTCCTGTCGATATGCACAACTACATACATGTAGCATGTCCTTATGATCTAAAAAGGTTTCGTGAAATTCTGTTGTGTGGTTTGAGAGAAGTTGCGATGACAAGAATCAGGACTGAAGGACTGACGGACTGACGGACGGACAGACTGGTCAAAAACATTATACCCTTCGCAACTCTTTGTGTGGGGTATAATTAAATAAGACTACAGTCATTTTGATTTTTGAACTTAATCAACTGCTTCAAAACTGATATTTATATACTTAAAAGACACAACAAAGAACATTTTGACAGAAATTATGTAAACTTAAATAATGCATAAAATAGTTTTGGTTTCAGATATCGTTCTATTTTGTTTTCTTATCTAATGGTGCTGTTTTGATTGTTCTTGATTTTTGTAACTGTCATTTTCATCAAGTTTTTCTATCATTTGTCAATGAATTATTGTTCTTTGTTTACACAAATAAGAGCATGAATATGGTTTATATGAATGCAATGATTTGTTATAAGTCACTTCATATTTGTATTAATTGTTTTATAATAATATGATATGTAATGAATTTAAAGTGTGTTGTCTGTCATCTCACAATAATATAAACAGAAAAGGTGAAAACATCTCTCAGATCAAAGATTAAAATAGCAGATGCACAACTTCTTGTCTTAAAAGAATCTCCCCACTTTGGTTTAACTGCTGTTTTCAAATGATCATAGATTAATATATACTGTGGATGGTGTGGAATAGTAATTCTCGTGGATTTTGTAGGTATAGATGAACCACAATTTCAATGTTTGACGAAGTACAAATTTTCTATACGCTATTATGCAGACTTTGGCAAAACCACAAAATCTTATATCCATGAAAAAACAATTTTTCCTCAATACATGAAAATCAATATCCACAAAATAAATGAATCCACAGTAGTGTGATACAAACAACTAAGACAACACAAAATGACAGAAGAATTCATGATTAGCTGCCTTAGCTTTGTTATCACACCACATAATAAATGATATTTTGTATTGCTCTTTTGACCCAGGTTAATAAGAGTCTTTTATAAGTTGCATATGGACTGTGTTTGTACTAAACACTTACTTGAACCTTTTTGACTAGATCCACTGGAGACGGATGGAGCTTTCATCTTCTGACTACTGTTTTGAGAACTAATGGTCACTTGTCTACGAGGATCTGTACTATTAGAATCTTCAAAGCCACTGGAGGCTTGGTCTATTTCTGATCCTAAAACTAAGAAAACGTGTAAAAAAAAAAATGAGCACCACTTACAATTGATGTATTTTGATAATTACAAATTTTCCGATTAGATCAAAAACATTCAACAAATTTATCTATAATTAAATTTTACACCTTATAACTAAACCTAATATTATCTTTATAATACAATTTATTTCTATTTATCCACCATTAAAATAAATCATAGCATTTCTGTAAAATTATAAGGTGCATAATAAAAATGTGTAACAGTAAGTAACATATGATTTCAATAACATGAATAAGGTCATGTGTGAATTTGTATTTAACAATAAGCAAAATATTGGGTGAAGTATTGGGAGTATTATTAATGGGGACACAGTCTATACCCTCTTCATTCAGTCATCTTTATACAGCAATAAACTTTCTTTTGAAACTGGTATATTGTTTTAATATTTTGTTGGTTCAATGATGGAAGTGGCAGTAACAAACACTTGATAACTAAAATGTTAAAAGCTGAACCTACCGGGTAATCGTTGTTTGGTCTCTGGTGGATAGTTGTGTCATTGGCATTCATACCACTTCTTCTTATTTTTATACTGTTAAAAATGTAAATAAAAGTAAATTATACAAAATTTCCATTTTAACATACTTCTTCTCTGAACAATCTGATTAGGTATTTGTGATATTTCTGGACTGTTTGATGTCTCTTGATACCCCTGGTGTCTTTTAACCCACTGTTTTTGTGCCCAGTCTTGTATACTAGGCCAATTAAGGATGGACTGATCCAAAATGGAGTATGTCATAATTGGCTGGACAGATTCCACTTCCTCTTCTTCTTGCACATGCTCATTAGGCTTTCCACTTGCAAACTGTTCATCCTCTTTTTCCTCGTCAGGAATTGGTTCATTGTGGTAACCAGACTGTTCTTTCTAAAAATATCAAACAAAACATAAACTGATCCTTTGGGTAAATTGTGACAATGTTTTTGACAGAATAAATTAACTTTATTAATTATACAGTGAGATTTTTATGACCCACCTACGATAGTAGAGGGGCATTATGTTTTCCGGTCTGTGCGTCCGTTCGTCCGTCCATTCGTCCGTCTGTCCGGCTTCAGGTTAAAGTTTTTGGTCAAGGTAGTTTTTGATGAAGTTGAAGTCCAATCAACTTGAAACTTAATACACATGTTCCCTATGATATGATCTTTCTAATTTTAATGCCAAATTAAGAGTTTTGACCCCAATTTCACGGTCCATTGAACATAGAAAATGATAAGGTAGTGGGGCATCCGTGTACTATGGACTACGTTCTATTATTCTTCAAATTGCATAATTTTTACAGACAAGCATTGTGATCTTGTATCGCATGATATATTACCAATGAAGCTTTTATATTGTGACATTAATTTTCAATATCATGTACAAAAAAATCCTCACAATTCATTTATAAAGAAACCACATTTTTTTAATCTTTGTCAACAATGATCAAGAAATAAATACTTCTAAAAATGGCAAAATGTAAACAGCAATCTGCAAAGGCATAATTCTTTATAATGTAAGTGATCATTAAATGGTGAGAAATTACAACTAAAATCCCGATACAAAAGTTTTTGGGAAAAATAGAACCTCTGATAACAAAAACATCTGAACTTCATTCACATTAGTAATCAAAATCACCATCGGATCAATTTCAGGTTATAAAGGTACTATAGAAAGTCAATGTACCGGTAGTTTGATTCCCAGCTTATACCTCTAGTTTCTAAATTTTTATATAATTTTATTGAGAGGTCTATGACAGTTTCCCTAAAACACCTCAAATGAGTCACACTATAATAACCCTACACGGTATAATGTTTTATTACAGTATAGACCAATCTCGCATTGATTTTTATGAACGTTGACCTGAGGTCAAAATGACTTCATTGAACAAACGGTTCATACAGTGACATAATAACATAAGCATTGTGACATATTGCGGAAACATGCACAAACTCAAAAATTGTCTATACATCATACCTTACTTCTCCTGAATAGCAATAGTATGAGTAGATTGACTGGAATAACTACACCACAACAGATGGCTCTATATCATACCTTACTTCTCCTGAATAGCAATAGTATGAGTAGATTGACTGGAATAACTACACCACAACAGATGGCTCTATATCATACCTTACTTCTCCTGAATAGCAATAGTATGAGTAGATTGACTGGAATAACTACACCACAACAGATGGCTCTATATCATACCTTACTTCTCCTGAATAGCAATAGTATGAGTAGATTGACTGGAATAACTACACCACAACAGATGGCTCTATATCATACCTTACTTCTCCTGAATAGCAATAGTATGAGTAGATTGACTGGAATAACTACACCGCAACAGATGGCTCTATATCATACCTTACTTCTCCTGAATAGCAATAGTATGAGTAGATTGACTGGAATAACTACACCACAACAGATGGCTCCAACAGTTATGTTCCTTAGTGATACATCTAACAGTCCAAACTCACCACGATACTAAAATAATAAACATTTAACATATAGTTCAAATACCAGGTCATACTGCAACAAAATGCAGTCCAAGTTTACTAATAGTTAAGGCTGTATGTTACCTATAGTTGCTTATAACATTTATTAATTTAATGAAGTAAGGAATGAGGGTCAATTGATTTGGCATTGCACAAAGTCATGTTTTTCTCTAACTGTTAATGACATCTTTACACTAAATCCATTGGATGTTGGATGTGTACTGATTGATATCTTAGTCTTAAATATATGATTTTTTTTTATTATTTTTTATTGGCTTCCAACTAGCTTTTAATAACTGTAAGTACTCTCAGATCTGTACTTAGTGTCTTATGTGTTTTTGTTAGTTTTTTGTTGTTGCTTTGTATAGATCTATTAAGTTACGCCCCTTTCAACTGATTTTTATAGTTTATTCTTATATTGTACTGTCAAACCACTGTCCAGGGTTAGGAGGAGGATTTGGCGCCAGCAAACATGTTGAACCCAGCAACATTCTGTATGGGCCTGTCCCAAGTCAGGAGCCAGTAATTCAGTGGTTGTGGTTTGTAGCAGTGTATCGTGTTTGTTTTTTGTATTTTTTTTGTACATAAATTAGACTGTTAGTTTTCTTGTTTGAACTGTTTTGCATTTGTTATTTCAGGGCCTTTTATAGCTAACTATGCTGTATTTGTTTGGCTCATTGTTGAAGGTCATACTGTGACCTATAGTAATTAACTTCAACATCTTTTGGTCTCTGATGGAGAGTTGTCTCATTGGCAGACATACCATAGCTTCTTATTTTTTAAAGAAAATATTGCTGGGTAATATGAAATATCTAAAATTCATAAACTATTATTAAAAAGATCAGAAAGAAAGTTTGGATCTTCTTTGTAAAACATATAGCCACTTGTTATCTATAGGAACATATTCCCAATAATAAGAAAAGACCCCCCTGAAAGAGTGTATTACTAGTAACATCCTTGTTTCAAATAATTCATAAATGCACCTAAAAAAAGGCAAAAATAATGTTAGAAAAATTGCTGAGGAAATACGAACTTATGCATTTGTTTTTGCTTACATAAATGCCCATCAAAATTGAATGCTTAAGACGTCTAACAAATTACAACTAATGAGAGAGCTATATATAAAGTGACCAGTATGACTAAGTCTTCACTTTTATATACATGTACTGTCTATTAAATCAGAATATTGTCAAATGTAAATGTTATTAGAGATACAATTACGAAATATACCTCAGGTTTAATTTCTTTGTACCACATGGCATTTAAACACATGTACATCATCAGGAGAGTCAGACCACAGGTTAGTCTCTGTTTTCTGTTAAACTGGCTGTAGGATGGACAGGTGACCAGTGACATCCATAAGTGGTAATCAGAGAAATACTGTGTTCCTTTAGTCCAGAACGCCTAATAAGATATAATTACAGAAGTTTATCACATGTTATTTTCTTAACACAAAATACATATAATCTAATTCAAAGCTACATGTATGACAGAAATTAGAAAATTTTACAACAACAATATGCTACCACAGCCTATATGGGGAGATTTTTCTATTGCGATGAAAAGTGATAGTCTCATTTCAAAACAGCTTAGAGATATTTGAAAATTTTAACTCCTTTAAAGTATTTAACAGTGGGTTATGGGTCTTTGTTTGACACAATTGTGAGGGTTTTTCAAGTTCAAGGTTAAAAGTCAATTTGTCAATGCTAAAGCAATCAAACACAAATAAAACAAAATTAAGTCAAATCTTGGACACATTTTGTCCTACAGTCTTAATTACATTTTAATTTTTGGAGATAGTCTTAATGTAGCATTAAATATTAATAAACAGCTGCGCCATGAGCACATGATAGGCCCATCACTTTTTAAAAGAATAAAGTTCAATAACTTCTCAATGTCATATCAGAAATTTATGAAAAACTAAAGGGAGGTTATCTTTATAGATATAAACCAGTCACCAAAGTTTCATGAAAACTCCTCAAAGCACTTTAAAGATATTGTCTGAAAACTGGAAAATCACCTTTTTTTTTTTTTATAAATAAAACCCCATAACTCGGAAATGTAAAATCTAAAATTTGTAAAAAACGAAAGGGAGCTCACGCCAATAGATATAAACAATTCAACTAAGTATCATGCAAATTGGTTTAAGCATTTTTGAGTTATTATCCGACATTTTGACGACAGACGGACGGACGGACAACGGTATACCATAAACGGGCGTATAAAAACACCTACTTTTCTAAAGCCAAGATTTCCTTCTAAAGCCATGAACTCTCTCTCAACCTTCCCATCGTCCTCTTCCACAGCCAACCATTTCTCTGATATAAAGTAGTAGGTACTTCCTAAAAATAATCATATGCAAACCTCTTCATAAAAGAACAACATAAAACATGAAAGTAATATTCTGTCAAAAGGGAAAATATCATTTATATCAAGAAAATTAAAAATATAAATTTAGCTATACTGAAATGTATCTTGTATCTCAACTGAAGTTAAGACATAACAGTACTAAAAGTCAAATACAATTTTCTAATAACAAAATTTGTTCAACTGTGTTTTTAATGTTTAAAATATACTCAAATTTTATCTTAAGTCTGTAAGACATGGAGTTCCTGCTTTACAAGGACTATGTGAAAAAGCTACCAATTGTGCACATCAATGTAAAATCATAGATGTCAACACCTTTTTGGTACAATCAGTAAACAAAATTTTGTTAAAACTACCAATTCGGTGGCAGCAACCCAACAATGGGTTGTTCGATTCATCTGAAAATTTCAGAGCTGATAGATCTTGACCAATGGAACAATTTTACCCCATGTCAGATTTGCTCTAAAAGCTTTAGTTTTTGAGATATAAGCCAAAAACTGCATTTGCCCCCTATGTTCTATTTTTAGCCATGGCCGCCATGTTTGTCGATGGATCAAAACTTCGGATACAATTTATAAACTAGATACCCTAAGGAACATTTAGTTAAAGTTTGAAGGTATTTGGCCAAGTAGTTTCAGAGGAGAAGATTTTTTAAATAGTTTACGACGACAGACGACGACGACGACAGACGACGGACGCCAAGTGATGGCATAAGCTCACATGGGGCCCTTCAGGCCCCGGTGAGCTAAAAATAAATGGAGAATGTGTCCACTTGCATAAAACTTTATAAAGGGACATAACTACAGAACTGTAAAAGTGACGCCACCTAAATTCGAACCTGATCTGTGTTTATAGTAATAAGCATTGTGTGCAAGTTTCATAGCATTTGGTTGAGGCAAACTAAAGTTAGAGAACAGAAACGAAAAATTCAGCAATTTTTCCATTTGTAAAGGGGCACAACTCAGGAACGGTAAAAGTGCTGCCACCCAAATTCGATCTTGATCTGTGTTTTGTGGTAATAAGCTTTGTGTATAAGATTCATAACATTTGGTCAAGGGAAACTAAAGTTAGAGAATGGAAACCAATTTCGGGACATACGGATGGAAGGACGTACAGACTGACAAGGGTAAACCTTAATGCCCCCTCCGCTACAGGGGGCATAAAAAGAGTTGGCGCTTTCAATAACTATTTGGAATTGACCAATAATTGGATAGATTGTTTTTTACTAAAGACAGTCTTGAGGAACTGGAAAGTATTTAGTACTCTTGAATCAATCAAGAGCTTATTTTTACACGATAATGACCAACAATAAAGCGTCAAAATAATCACAATGAAAAATTAAATATGAACTATTCCAGACATGTAATTGCCAGGAATCTGTAACAAGTAGACTTTAGAACATAATCTATGTAATTTCAACCAAAAATTCGTAACAATTACAGAAAAATTGTAATGGTTGGCATTTTATGACAAATGTAGGTCATGATGATCCAAAGGTTATATAATCCAGTTGTACAATTTAATAAGTATGTAGGGCCTGCAATTGAATTATCATTGACATATCACTGTGGATTTATGCACTTACTGACCTAAATTTAAACAATGCAAAAAACTGCTTAAGTATAGGTCAAGGTGACTTATCATGTTGTTTAGCAATGCAGTATAAAAGCATTATGGTGTTAGAAAATACTATCAGTATACATACTATCATTGGTTTTAGGAAATTGACTTAAAACACAGAACTTAATAAAATCTAGACACAAGAATGTGCATATAGACAAAGGCGAAACTATATGTCCTACCCATACTTGTTGCAGGATACAATGAAAGCCTAGTTAACCAATTTATCAATCATCAATAAATCAGACGATCATCTTATGACTGGTTACAATATTAACTATCATGAACTTAATTTCTTACTCAAGTCTTTTCTTGTTTTAGTGTCAGATACCTTGTACATAGTCCTAGATGTATTATTTTGGACTGAATACATGTATACAGCATATAAATTCATAATAATTTTCAGAGTGAACTTTTTATCCGATTTTTTGGGGCTAATTTTATACAATTCCAGATTGCACTTTTCAAGTTTTTTTGGGTGTGTTGTTATGTGATTTGGCTTTCACCTACACTGACCCACAAATGATAACAATATGAGTTAGCATAAAACCCAGATCAACCACAACTGCTCTTTAATAAAAAGTGCCTAAACCCATTACAGGAATATGATAGCTCACATTACACAGTAATTGTTTAATCTGTTAATAGGCCAGTGTTTTTCTGCTACATGCATTGCAATTGGAAATAGATTTATACTTTGAAATGCAACTTTTTAATGTCAATATTATAATGGTTATTAAATGTAGAAAGGTACATACTCTAGTTTCCTTTTATATAACTTTGCATTACCTAAACATTATACTTTGATACAAAATATAATAAAAGAGGATCTTGAATGGCAACTATATCTTACCACTATTTAAATCTTTAACTATAACTCTACTCAGATACCAACTAGGTGAAGCTCCATGGTTATTATGCCATAACTGTACTTTCCATATCTTTCCAATACTGTCTGGTAAACTATGAAAGGCAAAGTCAAGATAATATCTTTATTTTGCACTTTAATAAACAGTTATTATTTAAAACAGGTATAAATCATATAAATGAAATGCAAACAATAAAGGATAATCAAAATCAGTAAAATAGAATCAGTTTGTTCATGTAAAATACCTTACAAATTCTTATTTATGGCTTCCTGATTCTTTCAATGTTCAATTAAAACTATATAATGACAAAATATTTACTGCTGGATAACTGCAATGTTTTTGCTCCTTTAAACACATACTTACGTTAGTATAAACTGGTCTCTAGAATTGCGTTCAAACAATGGTCGGTCATCATCACTGATTAACTCCCTTGTCTCTGACATTCCTTCCTCTCCATGTAAAATTACACTTATCTGAAATCAATTTAGTTAGTTTGCTGTATTTCCTGAATTTGTAATGCATCATAAGAGCTGATATCTAACTAATTCTTTTCTACCAAGCCTCATGGGAAAGTCTATTCCTGATTTTAAAAGTTGAAAACTGGACAATTTTGAGATTACATCAAGATACTGCTACCCAGCAAAGTTTATATAAAAATACAATAGTCGGCTGAATTGAAAGCTCAAAGTATAAAACCCATGTTGGAAACCATTCTTTTCAGGAGCCTGTATTTCAGTGGATGCTGTTTATTTGCTGGATATCATATTTGGTTATCCTTTATTTTTTTGTACATAAATCAGGCCGTTAGTTTTCCCGTTTGACATTTATCATTGGCCTTTTATAGCTTGCTATGCAGTATGGTTTTTGCTCTTTGTTGAAGTCCATACAGTGACCTATAGTTGCTAACTGCTAAATCATTTGGTCTCTGGTGTAGAGTTGTCTCATTGGCAATCATACCACATCTTCTTATTAATATATGTACTCAAATGGCATGAAATAATCAGATGTTAGTCAAGCTTTAATTCAAGGTCATCAAAATCATTTCAATATTTTAAATATTTTTTCCTAATTAACCTTAGCTGTCGTGCCTGCTCCTTTCCTAAAGCCTGTTTCTATCGTAACTTCATATTTCTGTTTATCAGTCAAGTTATTGTCTATCAAGTAGGTTATTCCCCCTTTCCTGGCATCATGTTTATCCAGTCTGTGACAGAGAACCATTAGCAGTACATACAACAGAAGAAGAACTCCTGTCAAACATACAGCCACTGGGTTTTCATTTAGACTGAAAAGTATAGATTAAAACAGAAAGTGATAAGCAGTAATACAAGCTGAAGCAGATCTGTAAATGCTTTTATTAAAAACATTTATCTTATATGAAATGATTGAAATTTGAAATCTAAAATTCAAAATTTTAAAATTTCAAACATTAAAATTCTAAGTATTGAGAGTGTATATATATCATGATTTATTGGGTAAAATGGTAGAATCTGTTTCTCCAATGATTTGATGCTGCGAGAACTGTTAGAAACAGATTTAAGGGGAAATCACACATGATAGTTAAATCAACAATTTTTCTATAAAAAAATTCTTAAGCTTGTCAGAACAGGTTTAAATGTACAAAGAATTAGTGAAATAATCTTACACTGTTTACTATTAAAACAAATATATATTAAAAATTGTATTACTTACTCAAAGAAGTCTTCGATTGATATGTGAGAAAAATCATTTGGAACCAGTTCAAAATGGCCACCAAATGCTGTCATATGGTTACATCTGATAATAAAATATTCACAAATATTTAAACTGTTTTCTCATTCAATATCATCATATTTTCACCATTAATCTCAAAATTTGGGTATCATTTAGGATTATTGTCACAAAATATGTGAAATTTAAATTGTCCAAACTTGAAAATTTTGATATCACAACATTAGTATGTACACGAATATAATAGTTATCAAATGTATTTCAAAATATAAAAATAAGAAGATGTGGTATAATTGCCAATGAGACATTTTGTTACTCTCCACCTGAGACCAAATGACATAGAAGTTAACAGCTTAAGTTTGTTTTAATGCAAATGGAAACTTTAATTTTGATATTCAATCAGCAGTCAGGGAGCTTTTTTCAGATAAAAATTAGTGCCTATTTTCTGCAGCATGACATTTTAGCACTAAGTATTTGCCATATAGTACTGGTCTAAGGTACTAAAACCACTGCAAATTAGTTGTTCATTTGTTTCAATGTTTAGTGAACCACAGCTTGATATTCATAGCAAGTTACTAATCTGGAAATAAATTTCAATAAAATAGAATATAATAAATAAAGGCACATTCAGAGTTCTTGTCTTTTATGAAAAAATGTAGATTCTGTGCACAATCTTATTAAAAAATTTAACACTATTTTACCTGCAATGAGTTTTATAATAAGACGACTTCCCTGTGGCCCAGCAACCATTGTCTGACCAATGTCTCGTTGTATCATTCCAAAACAAACACTTATTCCACCATAATTTGAGGGTATAATTTCTTAGAGTAACCTCCCCTTCCCTAGGACGACCAGTGTTCAGACCAGCATCCACTAAACCAATAAAATATTCACCAGAAACTGCAACAGAAAATAATTTTACAAGAAATTATTCAGACAATCAAAATGCTGAAAGTTATGTTTAAATTATCTTATAAGACTAAAATTCCTATTTTAAAAATAGGAAACAAGACTTATAGCAAATGTCTAAAAATGTATGATGTTTGTCTTAAACATGTAAAGTGTCTTATTCAATAAAGTATAGCTAAACTGTTCTTTTTGGTTTATACGATGTTTCTTCAGTTAAAACAAGGAAAAAGGGTTAAATTAAGAGCTAGTATTTGGTCCTTTAAAATACAACTACAGCTGAATTCCTCATTTGATTATTACCTAGATCAAATTTTACCATGAATAATAAAGGTACATGCCAGTCAAGTAAAATTTCAATTTTTTTTAAGGTATTATATATAAGAACAATTTTTTACAGTGATTTTTAAAATGTTCTATACAATTTACTTATAACTACTGATGACAAACAAAATTGTTACCAAATGGGTATATCAAAAATGTATTTACTACACTTTCAGCTCATTGATCAGATAGTAAACCCACATTGGAACATCTCTTTGGGCAAGACATTTACTCATATCTAAGTACATATTAGCAATAACACATATTTCCATAGAATGTGCATACCTCCCTTTAAAACAGTTGATTGGTGCTAATATTTGAAATTATCAGACACAATACTGATATACATCTTTGTTATAAATTTAACAAAAATCTGACAAGAAATGTAGGTGTTAGAGAGCTTACAAGACCTGATGGATGTCAGATATTTCCATGTCCTGCTCCATGTTGTAATGAGCGATAATTATCTAAATCATAATTTAATATGTGGCTTTAGTCTTTTTCAGCCTTTGTCATGATAAGTGAAAAATAGAATTAGCTCTATCATATATGTTGCTTCTATACAGTTTTAATGTCTTTCCCTATCATTATCAAATCAACTATCATTCTTAAAATAATATCAAAATAATTTTTTTTACACAACAAGAATTCAATATCAATAAAAACGTCAGGATTTTATATAAATTTTTTTTATAATTGACAGGAAATTTCTGCCTTTTATTATTGCTTCTTTACAACCCAAGTGATATGACAATTATTATATTTTATGCCTAGGCCGTTCTTCAAAAGGGCATTGTCCCTTATAAATTTTCAATAGAATCCAACACATTAATAATACAATACAATCTATAATTGGTGTTAATGCCTGAAGGAGACAATAATTTGTAAGAAATGAATCTAGCTGTTACTGACTAATTAAATTAGTTCTACTATATGGACATCTCCTGACTACATCCATACAAGATCTGTCATAATCCGATTGTAAAACGTTTTATAGCAAAACCAACAATATACTTTATCAAATAGAAGCATTAAACTGTTTCTATTCTTTTAACTAGAGATTTTGCTCTTCAGTAATGTGGCAAAGAAAATGCAGTGCTCTAAAAGTAGTCAGTCAACATTTATCTATGAAGATAACTTTGGCAATCAATATTTGGGCAGAGGTTCAAACCTTCTTGTCATTTGTTAAGTAGCAACTGTGTGCTCAGTCTGTGCTAAGACACCAGCTGTTTTTCTTCACCTGAAGACCAGATAAACCTTAAGCTTAAGTCAGAGAGTGAATTTTAATTAACAGCTGTTTCGCATCACCTGAGGACTACACTTACCCAAGAACATAGCCTGAGGGTAGATTTCGATAAATAGCTGTTTTGCTTGACCTCAAGATATTCTTACCTAAAGCCATAGTCAGAGGGAAGAATTCGATAAACAGCTGTTTGCTTTTTGCTGTTTGCATGACCTCCAGATATTCTTACCCAAAGCTTTTGCCTGAAGGTAGATTTTGATAAATGGCTGTTTTGCTTCACCTCAAGACCATTCTTACCCAAAGCTATTGCCTGAAGGTAGATTTTGATAAACAACTGTTTTGCTTCACCTCAAGACCATTCTTACCCAAAGTAATTGCCTAAAGGTAGATTTTGATAAACAGCTTTTTTGCTTCACCTCAAGACCATTCGAACCTTAAGCTATTGCCTAAGGGTAGATTTTGATAAACAACTGTTTTGCTTCAGCTTAAGACCATACTTAGCTGAGGCCAAAACCTGAGAGAAAATTTAATTAAAACAGCTGTTATCTGAGAAGTAAGTGATTTTTTACACCTTTGATTTCAATTAACAATAAAAGAACAGAGTTCCAATGTCCCCCGTCTTGCACATATTTTATCTTTCCAACTTCCTGGAAATAACTAAAAAAAAAATTTGTTATACATATCTTAGAGAAATGAAGGCTTGAGAGCAATTATAATTCAATTGCTCGTGTAAATTTGATAAAAATCTGGCAAGAATTGTTCACATGAGAGCACTTGCAATGCAATTTTCTACATAACATATGTATAATTAATATTTCCATGGGGCATAACCCTTTTAAAAATAAATCGATTGGCACTGATTTTCAAACTTGTCAGAAACATCACTGATATAAACCTTTAATATAAATTTGATAAAAATCTAGCAAGAGTTGTACATGTGAGAGCGCTTACAAGACAGGAGGGACAGACTTACAGTATTTCTATGTCCCCCACAACGCTTGGGACAAAACCGGACTAGTGGACATACATTGTTAGCAAATAAACTGTGTTGAAGACCCATTGGTGGCCTTCGGCTGTTTTCTGCTCTTTGGTCAGGTTGTTGTCTCTTTGACACATTCCCCATTTCCATTCTCAATCTTATACAATACAAACTAAGCAGTCAACCAATTATTGCCTCTTGTTTCTACTTAATGACAATAAAATTTATGCCGATTATCATCAACAGATCATTATCAGTCCAACAACAATTTCATAACTGTTTCCTTACAAAAATCGCTTTAAGTAGTTACTGTGGATTCCAATTATTTTCGTGGGTACCAATTTTTTGTGGATTGAGGAAAACTTACACTTTCATGGATATTTAATTTCATGAATTTGCCAAAGTCTCCATACAAGCCAAATGAAAATTTATAATTCGTTGAACATTTAAATTCGTGGTTACTCTGAACCAAAGAAATCCACGAAAATTGGTATCCAACGAAAAATAATGAATCCACAGTAATTTGAATTGAGTAATTATTTTTGAAGCAATTGTAAAATTGCATTAATGAATTACTAAATTGTCCTATTAAATGCCTACTATAATATTGATTGTACTGATACCTATAAAAAAAATTTACTTTTGGAATAAAGAATATATAAACCTGTGTTATGACCTTACTTAATACACATTAGATAATTTATATCCAAAGTACTCAAGGTTGAATCTATCTATCAAGAGAAAGGTTCTATGGTCAGATTAATGTAATGTCACATCCATTTATCATGCTACAGGTAGAAAAACTTCCAAAGATATAATGTTTTTTACAGCTAAATTAATTACTGCTAATGAAATTTCTTCTATATAATGAGATGGTGGCATGAAAAAAAGTAATTACTGGTACACATGTTATATATTTAAAAAAAAATGCTTTCACTTTGTGTTCAAAAATATTTGGAGGTACAATTAAGAAAAACCTTTCTCTGCAATGATTTGCTTTGATATAAAATTATCATCTGCAACACAAAAAACAGGAAACAATTGTGTACCAAAATAAATTTAAGCCTTCAAAGAATAGCCATGGGTAGCAACAATGAAAATAGATAGTTAGTCCTCAAAAAATCCTACTGCCCCATATCTAATTTACAGAAGTATTCTACTTTCCAATATAGCTTAAAGTTTACATTTTAACAAATTTGTAAAAATACTATATTATAGGGCCAAAAAGAGGTCTTACTCAGGGCCTACTCCTTTTTGTGGTGACTGGTCAAAGAAAATGTGTGATTTCAATGTTTTTAAAGAGCAAAATTTATGACAAAGTGAAATGTAGAAAATAGGACAAGATTATCTATATGGTAATGTTACATCTAACCTACTCTAAATTATCCTTTGTGATAATTCATAAGCTTAGTTTAAATAGGACATTTCATTTTCAAAATATTTTATCAGCATTTGCAATGACCAAATTTCAGTCACAGTTTGAGCATTTTGCTTATAAAGTTAATTGGGTTTCCTGTTGTTTTTTTTTAGAATGTTGCAACTTTAATAGCTATGTTTGAAGAATTATCTTCATGTAAAAATGCTGTTCAATGTATCTTCTATTAGACAGTAAACAATGGTAATATCTTCCCCTTCTTTCTCTACAAGACAATGGAAACATAGGTTAAGGACCAATCTGATGTTTTCATTGGTAAGTGCCAAAGCCTGAGCGTAAATTAACTTAATCAGCTTCATTTGAACAAGCAGTTAATAACAGAAATTCTCAATATGAATTAAGGTTAGTGACCTGCACATTAATAATTGGTAAAATTGTTGAAAGGTTTTTAGCTTTTAGTTGGAAAATTTTCTTACTAAACTAATAACTTATAAATTATAATTTTTTTGACAATTTAATGCCAATAAATGATTTTTTTTATCAAAGGGGTGTATGGCGTCAGTACTCCACAAGTTGCTAATCAAAATTTAACCACTTTGCTTTTGAACAGCTTTACCTTCATCAAAGAAGAATGTTTACATCATTACGCAACTGTCAAGTTCCTAGAACATAGCTACAAGCCTTCAAAAAATGAAGGTAAAACTATGACAATTCTTTCAAATATAGACATAGGTTGTCACTTTTTAAGACTCTCGAGTCACACATGCATATACTCTTACCAAGTAAATGGGTACCTGTGATGTCAAAAAGTTCAATTTCACTATATTTCTTTAATAACAATAGTGGATGAAAAGTTAATTTTTTAATGAATAAGCATTCTATACATTTTGGGCATACATGTATTTGGATGATTCTCAAACAATTTTATCAGCATCCCAAAAATTACATGTTTTCTCAGACACCTCCAATTACTTGGACTTTACTGTTAAAGCCTTCCATGTAGTAATTTTTAAACCTAGTTAATTTTATTGTTATTATTGAAAGCCATAAAAAAAATTGAGGAATTGTGTTAA